GAACACTTGCTGCATTGGAAGGGGATAAATTAGACATTATAAACTGTACGCATGAGATCAATCATCTATATATAAAAGTAACCATACAAAGCCATACATGTATATCAGGAATTGGGCATATCAGGCCGACTTAGAACACCAACCAAGCCGTCCGATTCGTGTTCACATACAGAAAAAAGTGAAAAGCTGCACCTCTGATTGCAAAACACGGTGAAATCTAGTATATTTCTAATTACACCCATAAGGACCTTAAAAGTCTTCTCAGACTGCTGCCGATTGCGATTGCCATTTGTGCAGAAGAGAGCTGTCGAGTGCCCCACGGTGACTGCCGAAGCGTTACGCCAGAAGCTGGCCAAAGCAGAGCAAAGGCGCCAGGAGGTAAGCCATACTTTAGGTAAGCCATACACATAAGGTGTGTTGACGGTTTTCTCCCGGCACATCTCCTAGTGGGTTTTGCGTTGATGGTTTTCTTCGGGCACATCTCCTAGTGGGCTTTGATCTATGAGCCACACAACAAGACAAAATCTTTGTCACCACGTTTGGGAAGCAAAATTGGTGCAGAGTGATCGTGGCTTGAATTGCAGGTCTCATCTGTTGTGCGTTGCTTCTATCAGAAAATTTACATAGCGCCAATGTTTACAGGCAATCCCGCGGTCTTCACGATGTTGCAGTGAATGCCCTAGCGGAAAAGTCGCAACACACTGTGGCAAGGTCTACGCAGGGAATTCGATTTCGAAGGATATTGTTTTGAGGATCCCTGTTGAACCGGATCAGCTCTCAAAGCTCTGCCCTCCAACCAAAACGCCAGGTGGCAGTGCAGGAAAATGAAAAAGGCAGACTTGAGGTTGTTTCGGACGCTGGAATTTCAATGCATGCCAACACCACGAATTCGTGTTAGGGTTACACGTCGAGTTCTGGATGAGCTTCTTGGACTAGCGATAATTTAAAAGAGGCCGTAAAATCACATGATGTATGCGCAGCCATCCAGGTCAATGCGAAAAATAACTGTGACGTACTATCAACTCAAAAGTTTGCTTGAGCTCGCGCACATACATCATAGAATCCTTGGGTGAACGCCGCCCAATATTCTGCTGTCATTTGAATGATAATAGCGCACAGTACACAGACACTGTCATTATTTTGGGACAGAGACCAATCACATTACGACTTTGTCTTTAGCACATTGGAACAGGCCAAACGCGACATTAAGCAAATATACTGCGCTGGTGTCATCACAGCAGCCATGCTGTAAGACCAAGTACGCTGCTGCATCCGTGATGTCATGCGCAAGTTGTCCATTCACCACCTTTTTTTTTTTTCATTTTCTTGTGTTGCCAGACCTAATCGCAGAGGCCACAAGCCAGGCACAACTCGTGTCGCCTTTAAAACAAAAGCCTCTAAGATCAAGAAGCGTTCCACAACATTACCATTAGGAAAGGACACGTTAACCGTGGGATCTCCGAAAAAGCAGGGTCGGACAGGCTAAATTAGAGAAACAACAACCGACAAAGAATTATGCCATGAGAGCCACTCATACAGGGGATAGGCAATAATAACAGAAAACTTGTCATTATTTCTCGCAGGTGCTAGAAGAGCGGATCCGAAACTCGAAGATGTTCTCCGAGAAGGCAATGCCAATGGTGACATCAGATGAATCCTAGGAGTCACGGGGCAACAAATACCAGGCTGCGTATTTCTCTGCCGGTTGTGAGTCATGTTGGTGGGACAGCTGACGTTCCAATGACCATAGCGACATCTTCGTTCGCCCGCTCCAAGCTGGGCACACCACAAGCAGGGAGGGACGACGAAATGACACTGGAAGCAGGTGCATGCTCCTCAAGTGGTGTATGCATGAAAGCTGTTATGTCAAAGTGTCTCGTTGTGTTAACTTACTTTCACACATCGCATCCTTATGATCGTTGCTTACGACGCTCAGAAGTATCGAATTGAAACACAGTCAAACACGAGTATATTGAACTCGGATGCACTGAATTATCCTTTATATCGAACTATTCCTGACCACGACAAAGCGCAGGAAAACAAAAGCAGCCGGAATGCTTCATACAACGGGCAGCACGAAATTCCGCCCCAATAAGTTATCTTTTCCTCACAAGAAGTTGGCTTTTACTGGCAAAAGCGGTCCTTCCTGCATGCCCTAGGGAGAGAGAGCGAGCGGTGTGATTAGATGGGTTCCGCACAAGGCGAGTAGAAACTACCCCCTGCTACCACATGTTTTCTTTCATGGCTTCTCTCTGCTTGTTGGCCCGTCGTGCGCGGTCGCTGTTCACTTCACAGCAATTCTTTGCTCCCTTTATTGTTGACGCGATGGCTGCTGTGAAGCAGAATAACGCTGTTGTTTCTCTGCAAAGCTGGCGATTATCAATGCAATCTAACGCAGACAAGCCTGATGATGACGCCACATACAGCATCCCAAGAAGCACGCCGACTGATCCGCAAGGCGGCAACACCAATGTCGCACTGTTTTGTAGCTCAGTTCGTATACGTCCTCTCCAATCTGTCCGTGCAACGGCATGCAGGAGGCGTTCCAGAGGTCTTTAGTAATCTTAGATTGATTGATATGTGGGGTTTAACATCCAAAAACCGATTATGAGAGACGCCGTAGTGGAGGGCTCCGGAAATTTCGACCACCTAGGGTTATTTGACGTGCACTAATCTAAGTCCTCGTATGGATTTCGGAAACAGCGCGTACAGCATGTTTTTTCTTTTTTCGCTTTTATTGGGGGGGGGGGGGGGGGGGGCGTGTGGCAAGTGCATGGACCTACTAGCACTCCTCGCGACAAGTGCACACAGTCACTTTGGCTGAGGCATGCAAGAGGCTTCCGGAGTCCGACGAGTGCGCACAGCTGCGTGTGAAGATGTTCAGGTGCTGTTTATATCGATGGCGTATTTTCTCGCGTATAACTAACTCACCGCCACAATCACAAACTATGTTAAAATAAAAACTAAATAATAAGCCCCCTTGTGCTGCGGTGAAGCTAGCAGGCACAATAAGATTCGCATTAAATATACAGTAAATTCTTCAGAACCTTTATATTGAATTATACGACATACGAAACTGATTCCCACTTTATCACGAGTTCGATATATACGTATTTGAATGTACCACGATACAATCTTGCCACACAGCACGCATGTAAATCATTTTGTTAATGGCCATTCGTAGCATCACACACTTCATGACTTGTTACAGTATCTCCGTGAAATGGGCCTTAATGATTAAATGTTTCAATTCCGAAGTCGTTCGGTGCAACAAGCTGGGTGACAAAACATAAATAAAATGACCTCACACCCATCACTGATGTCTGAGTCACTGAACATGTACAATAAGCCAAGTCAAATAAATGCTTTAGGTTTTTCACACCAAAATTCAGGGGACACAAACTGCCGGGCAAAAAAAAAAAATCCAAACTGGTGTACAATAGCATGCAAGCAGGGTGCATAAAGGTTCCATTAGGGTGAAGCCGTTGGGTTCACAAGATTAAAATTTTTCTGTTCATGGCTAACCCAACGCAGTGTTGCAATTAGTGGAAGCAAAAAACTGTTTCTCCTACACCTGCGTAAGTCAGTAGTTATTTATCACTAGAAAAGAGCAAACTAGCAATTAACTTGTCTCAATCAAGAGCCAAGAAATGTACTGCAATTAAAAGAAGGCCACACAAAACATCGTCAGAAGTCAGATGGTCGTGTTTGTTCCATGTGCGTTACAAAAACACTAGAAAATCGTCCTTTCTTCTTTTTGTTGCCGGCAAAATGCCTGCCTGAAATACAAAGATTACAGCTATGATCTATTCTCAACACGGCCTATCACTATTAATATATACCAAAGGCAAGGCACTTCCAGGTTTACTTAGCCGCTCATCTATAAATCTGCATATGTACAAGGTTCCACAATTTAAGGTTGTCCTAAAAAGAAAGTGACATCTAAAGCATGGGACACAAGATAAAAAAGCAGTTCCACTTGTGGCACGATGACACATTTCTGTAAAAAGTATGCAGCATCACGACTAGGCACACCTATGAAAGTGAGTTAAAGGTACAGTTGGTCACAAAGGACCTCATGGCAACAGAGACAGCTAGTTAAAAAGCCGAAATTGAGAAAAAAATACCAGGAACGAAAATACAAAAGATTTCACAATTGCATACAACATGCATTTTCTGCAAAGTGAATGCCCAAAACATAGCTAAAGATGTTTTATCAAAGTAAAGGCGATATAAGAACGATTTGTATAATGATCAACATATATGTATAAAAAGCCTAAATGTATGACACGTAAAGTGTAAAAGTCTTGATTGCTCAAAGCCAGTCCAAATGCACATAGCCTCAGGCATGCGATCATTCCAGGCTATACTTTGCTGCTGATTGTAATGAACATTAACGCAAGAATCACTGGGCACACAATAGCAAGTTTTAGTAATACATACGCCACTTTCAGTATTGTATTGTACACGTAACGACGCAGTGTTGCACGAAGAGCATTTTGAAGTACCTTTTGCTAGTATCCGCTTTGTGAAACACACTGTTTTTACATGTGCGATGCCATTATGGATGCTAGGTATGCAGACTATTAGCAAGAACATAGCATCCTGACGGTAGCTTTTAGTGCGAAATAAAGACTAGAGACGGACAATCGGTTGTCCGTCTCTCGCGTTTATTTCACGCTAAAAGCTGCAGTAATAATGAACCAACTCACCCAACAAGTCACTCTATACAGCATCCATAACGTAACTCTGGACAGTGTGTTACGGATGCAGTTACGTAGCACTCATAACACTGCCTCTGTAATTATGTTATGGATGCTGCGTACTAGCCGATGGCTTCATCACACGCACTTGGAAAAAAAAAAAAAGACAACAAATCACCTTTTCGAGCATTCCAATGCCATTAGAAAACTGCTCAACTAACACAAGGTTCTGTTACCAGCAATTAAGGTGCTAACTGTCCTTTCGCAGTCTACAGTACAATAGGCTTTGCATCTTTCTTTTTTTCCACATCATAAGAGCTTCCGTCAGCACACAGACAGCAAAGTAAGATACATTTCAACTAAGTGACCACGCATACCACGGTCAAAGCAACACAAGACGTGCTGTTCAGGCTACCTGCAAAACTGCAGCACCGTTTCCCGTTGTGGAAATGCCTTCAGGAACCTGGACTAGAATGTTCTAAGGTGAAAAAAAAAATGCCACTGAAGTTGTAAAGCGTGAGAGAGGAGTGCCAGATAACGACAGTAAAAACTTTATACGAGTATGACTCGATGGACAGAAAACAGATAATTGCTGAAGCCACCTGCTAACTTATGCTAGCAGGTAAAAAAGGGCCTTGAGTGCTCAGGTGAGTGAATAATTATCAGTTTTGAATTTCTTTCACTCAAAACAGCAAAATGTCTTTGAGTGAGAATCCGAGAGCACTTCCGCGATAAAAAAAAAATGAGTACGGGGTACTCGCGACGTGCCGGTTAAGTCAATTCACAATGAGGACAAAGTATTATTGAAACACGCTTGCCACTTCACGCTCGTCTCTACGATGAGATACTTTGTAAAAAAGACAAGGCTCGAACCACTTCGTCTTTGATTCCAAGGCAGTGTCCAAGGCAAGCACAAAAAGTCCACTTCTAAGAGTGTCTCCAAGTTTTAAAAGTTTTGCTGTCGCTTCTTTTTTCGCGTCCATGGCGTCTAAGATGGGCTGCCGCTTGGCGTGGTAGCGGCGGCGAAGGTCTTCGATCTCCCGTTCCATCTCGGAGTCGAGGCTAGACATGCGATGGCCGAGTTCCTCGTAGCTGAGATACTTGAGCTGTCAAACCCACACACAGTGCAGACTTAATAACATGCTATTCCTAACTAACTAAGTGACTGAGATTTACTCATAGAGCATGCATATAGTTGCTCGCTAGACCAGCACGCAATCATACTAAATTATTACTATACTTGAACTCGTAGTTGGAAAATTACCGTTTCTATTCGAATCTAAGCCGCTCGCTTTTTCTTTCGAATTTATTCCCATCAAACTCCAAGGTTGGCTTAGATTCGAAAAGTTTGTAAAACGTGCCATTTTTCATTTAAAAAAAAAAGTGGTGCACAACTAGCGCCACCTTGGCGGTATTATAGCCATTAGTAGCCAAGCCAACACCTGGCTTAAGTACACACGTGAGGCTGCCATTTTTATTTCTGTGGCAAGAGCCGTTTGCGATTTTGATTCGTGCTTCAAGTGGTTTGTGTGTGGTGTAGCTCAATGGCGCCAAGCAGGTGGTGTCATTATAGAGTCAATTATTAAAAAATAGTTGTCCTAGCTGCGGAGTCTTCGCCCAAGTTTTGACACGAGCGGGACTTTCGAGTGGACGAAAAAAAATGTGCGTCGCTGGAGGGGCTGCGGCGTGGGTCGACAACCCAAGAACTTTGATTGTGCGAGATATCCAATGCGCTTGATGGCACCGATGATTGCGCACTGTTCCAAGACAGCGACAAGAAAGTCAGCGACGACGACTCGGAATGAGCGCACCATTGCCAAGCGCGGCATCCTTATGATACTAATAACTAGAAACAGCGCAAAAAAAAAAAAAACGACAAAGAAACACGAACAAGACTAGCAGCTTGGTTTCATCTTCAGATTGAATAAATGTTTTCTCTTTATGAACGCTGTTTTCGCCGTTTCGTTCAGTCTACATTCGATGTCTACATTCAGTCTACATTCAGTCTACATGTTGTTGTTTTCCGAGCTTCGGACTTTTGGGAGTCGGCATAGTATTGGGGTCGACCTAGATTCGAGTAAATACGGTAGTCTTTCTTTTATTACTATTACACCCTATATACCTTCTTATCTCACATGAATTAAGAGAACTATTGGTTAAATACACAAAGCTGTGCAGATTTCCTTGTCGAAACAGGCATCAGGCCAGACTGATCACTTGACCTTGATCAATGGACCAATGAATTATTTCATCATTCCTCGCTAGATTATCTGCATTAATCGAAGTTGCATGCGTATATGACACCCTATTCTACTATGAGCAAGTTTTGGAAATCCCCCCCAAAAAAAAGAACAGGATACACTGTAAGGAATACCTGAGTGGAGGGTTACAAATGAGTTTTAACCAGTCAGGGTTTGTTAACAAGTGCACAATGCAAACTACGTAGTACTACTTCTTTTACGTCGTCATCAGCAGAGGCAGCCTTTCTTATGCACAATGGAAGAAGAAGGTCTATCCCAATAACCTCACGCTTAACCTATCTTACCTGAGCTGACTCCCATTTTATGCCTTTGAATTTCTTAATTCCGTCGTTTCAATCTCGTGGTACTTATTCTGATGTTCAACTAAACATCTACTGTCCGTTCTCCTGATAATGTGGCCTGCCTAAATCCCCCTTTTCTTTCATTAAATATCTACTAAAATATTGACTAAACTATCGACTATCCTTGTTTGTTTTCCGATACCCTCCGCTGTCATCTAATCTTCTAAATCTACATCCATCATTTTTTGTTCCACTGGCGCGTGGTCGTGAGCATCTTTTCAAGTTTCTCTGTTATTCTACAGGTTTATGCGCCATATGTTTGATACGAAAGAGGGAAAATTCGAGGGGTAATTTTTTTTCTTTTTTTCTTTGTTAGACACAACACTAGTGAGAGTAAACAGACAATCAAGATAAGGAAATTATAGGAAATGTTAGGAGGAAACAAGAGCATAGGGCATGTTAAACATCCCCAACACTTTCTTGGCTTGATTGTCTTTTAGTTTTAAAACGATATGTTAGGTTCAGCACACCCAAATGCAGCTTCCACGGCTGGGAGTCGAGCTCACAACGCTGCGCTCTGGAACACATTACAGCCTACTCAGCCACTGTGGTGGCTTCGCTTTGCCTGACTAAAGCTAGCCTGCCTATGTCCGACTACATAGACAGCCAGGCAGTTCTCTGGAAGGGCACACTGGAGATAATAAACAACACTCACATAGTCGAAGTCGCCTTCCATAAATCCGCGCTGCTGAAACCTGGGCACCTGCACCAGATCCATGTGCGAGGGCGACTGGGCTGCCGACAATTGCTGCTGCTGCTGAGGTTGCTGAATCTGGTTGCGCAGCTGTAACTGTCCTTGTTGCAGCTGCTGCTGCATGCGCTGTAGCTGCTGAAGTTGCTGCAGCTGCTGCTGGTGTTGCTGTTGTGCCTGAAAGAGCTTCTGTTGTTGTTGCTGCTGCTGCAGCAGGAACTCTGCTTGAGATGCCACGCTGACGGGCAACGGCGAGTTCATCTGGTTCAGCTGCCGCTGAAGCTGCTGTGCAAAGTGTTCTTGAGAGACAGGCACATCCTGGTGTGCGTATGCGGTGCTCACATGACTCGCTGTGGCCGGCCGAGTCAGGCCCTGCAGTGAAGGGAGGCGTGCATTATGAAAAGGACCACCAAAGAACGTGCGCAGCTTGAACACATGACAAAACATGACAAAATAGTGTACGGGTTATGTCCTGCAACCTGCACATTTAGCCTCACTATCCGTGCATTTAAAATGCATCCTTAAAAGAGAAGTATAGCCTTGAGTAGAGCAATGCTTGTGCAGATGAGCTTCAGTTTTTGTCAACCTAGAAGCAAGCACCGTCAACAGCGAGCTCTTTGGAGATCTGCACTATAGTAAACCATGCTTTAAAAAAAAAAAAGAAGAAAAAAATAGGAGAGAGAGAATAGTGGGGGAAGAGAACACAGTTTGCACTGGCCACTGCTTCATTGAAAATCAAGTATATCTATTAAAATTACATAATTTGCACTAAAACTTTCAAATAATCAAACATTCTTGACTAGGAGTTGTACGAACTGCACCAAGTTTACATGCAGAGAGGCGTTGTCACCACACTTACGTGACAGAGCAATGCCGCACACCTAGGGCGCTGCATTGAACCGAACATGGCTCACCTGTGGCGCAGTGGCTGCCAGTGCTTTGGAGAGATCCTGAGGGAAATAGTTTGGATGCGGAGTGCCGTCGTGTCGGGGTGATTGCTTGGAGTTGCCTCCACTGCCTCCCTGCTGTTCCCGCTCCTTCTTGTCAAAGTGGTCCAGAAAGTACGGCCTGTAGCTCTCCTTGCGCTCGCCAGTTGATGTGTCGTGCCCTGCCACAATGAAGCAGGCTGTCAGCCATCGAGTTATTGTTACAACGTGGGCAACAGCCCAGTTTCATGCACCTGTCTGTCCTTGTGTCATTCTGCGTTACGATTTTTTTTTCTTAAGCAGACAAAGGCTGTTAAATCCAGTTTGGAACCAAATCAAGAACTAAAGGCTCAGACTAAAATCTCCAAAACTGACCCGCTTAAGCTATTTCATGCTCAAAATGAAATGGCTTAAGGAACAAATTGACACCATTCAGTGAAGGCAGCTGACCAGCAGAGCTTAAAGGCGAAAAATATATTTTAGAAGTTGTTGAAGAGGTTCGTAAGCAAAGGGCTTTATTTTTGAAGCAGACTGCCGTGGACACGTTTAAACTGTGCTGTTCCTAGCATGCTGTTTTCGGGCTGCACTGGAATCAAGTTTTTTATTATTCGTCAGGACCATGAGCAGTCCCTAGAAGAGCACATGGCGAAATGTAGGTTAAGCATGAAATCTTCAAAAAGCCAGAATTTTCGCGATTTGTGTAATTCTTCATGTCGGCTTTACACGACCTTGGGAGGGCTCTTATTCTAGCATGAGTACACCACTGTATGATGACCGGCAGCAGCTGCGACAGGTGGGCCGCTGCAGCCGACAGTGGCGAGACGGCAACCACAGACGTTTGTGGTCTACCTGCTCGGTGTACGCACAGCAATCTGTTAGAAACTAGCGAAGAACAGCTCGGTTAAAAAGATGGCTAAATCAACAGGAACAGCTGCAATCTGGGTATTGCAATACTTTTTTGCAGACTAGTTGGTTCATACTTGAAACGTGCGCAGCTTGAGTTGGTAGTCTGCGCTCTTTCCTGTCTCGTTTTTTTTCTTCAAGTTTGTGCAGCAATTCAATTTTTTCAAGTTTTGGGTATTGCAGGCCCATACATAGTCAGGCATACAGCTTTAGGAGCCCTGCTTCACCACGTACGGGTACAGCATTTGCACCTCAAAGGCGAATGAATATGAGCCTGCACTAATGAGTGTGCGCTCTATACTTCGCGTTGCGCCTCACGTTTCATTGTAGAGTCGTCTTCCTCGCCGTCGCTGTTGATGATCAGCGTGCCGAGGTCCGATTCTAGGTCGCTGCTCGTTGGGGCGTCCCCGCCAGCTCCTCTGTCGGGAACCAATGTTCCCGGATCAGCGTCGAGCTTTACCATAGTGCCAGCATCTACCTCGTCGTCATCAAGAAACTGTGGTGAACAAGTAAAACGTGGTAATTAGCTACTGCCCAATCGTCCATGGCAGAGCAGACGGTGCTACGACAGACCCACATAAGAACGTCTAACATTAAAGTAATTCCTTACAGGAAGCTCCGACTAGAAAAGCAGTTTCGATGTGGCAGATGGCCCAGCCCAAATGAAGACCGTCTGTGGTGTATCTCCAGCAAATGGAGGGATACATATAGTATATTCCTTTGGATAAGATAGGTGTGAGGCATGAAACGTAGCTAAAGTCTCATGAGGAACTTTACCAAGACCGCCGGCGTATTTGCTTACATCACACAAGGCTCCAAAAAAGGCAAGGTCATCAAACTTAGTGAACGTATCACAAAGTGAATGAATCTCTGTAGTCAATACCAAGTGATCATTATGCAACGTGTAAACTTAGCTATAAGACTACTTTTTGGTGAGTATTGGCAAGCCAGCATGCGACAAAATCATGCAACAATGCTAATGAGAGTTTCAAGCACGTGCTCAAGATATGAGTTGTAAAGGACAAAATATCATAAAAAAAATGGTTTACACTCAAACCTCATAACAAAGTCGCATTTTACACAAAGCAAGTTTGTTAGACCTGTAAATTCGTTATGAAAGTATATTCCTAGCACTATATATGTTACAACACTGTTCTTTCTTTACTTTGTTATAACTGATGTTTTGTTATATCTGGGCTCGTTATATCAAGGTTTAAGTGCATTACGTCACTGAGATTTTCAGCTACTCCGTCGCACGCAAAGCTTAATTCTTACAACATTAGTGTTTCATCTGCAGTGCAGATCTACGCGTCATGTACGAGCTGCACCTGAAATGACAGTGGATCACTTATTCAGTACGTTGGAGCTATATAACATGATCCAATAAAGCTACAGCTATAATATATTTCTGTAAACATAAGGCCCGAACTGCTTATCACAAGGTGCGGACACCAAAAGGCTAAATTATTCTTAAATTTTTTATTTAGTTCTCCCCTTATGGTATCCACAATAGAAACGATTAATTTTGTTAATCTGTAAAATTCTAGTAAACATTTTATCTGAAAACTAAATGCAGCACTACACACTTATTGCTTATTATAGTATCCAGCTACCCAATAATATTCCCCTTCAAATTAACCGTTTTTTTCCCCACTGCCTCATGAAACAAAAAGGTAGCTTTGTCTCTCTGCTTAAATAGTTGACCTATTAGAAGAATTGTTGCTAATATGAAAGACAGCATCAAAACTAAACAAGTCTCTTTACTTAGTTATTCAGGTTCGGACATGAAGTACAGAAAACATTTCTACAACCCGCGTCTACCCATAAGGTAGACACGCCTGCCTTGCAGGAAAGTTAGAGAGACACAGCAGGGTTCACCGACCGCATCACCGGTGCTGCCTCTCCTGTCCTTGCGGAATGCCTCGTCCTCTTGAATGTCTCTGGCCTCAACAATCATCTGCTGCAGGATTGCCACGGGTTTCGCGTTGCTGATGAAGATGTGCTGTTGAACCATTGCAAAGAAATAATAAACATCCCCTTACAAGGTTCAGAGTCAAATGCAATTTCTGTACTCTTACAAGGAGCATAAAAAAAAAAAACACTGCCATATTTGGAAGTATGTTAAACAAACTAGAAAAGACGATATAAGCATTCCTGCTCTGACCGTGGAGGGTGATACTTTGTACACCGATGAAGAAAAAGCTGAAGCTTTTAACAACTATTTCCAATCAGTTTTTACTCAAAGCACACCTGGCGATGTGGGGGCGCTTCCAGTCACGTGGACTTCCATGAAAGACGTGGAGGTTGACATTACTGGTGTTGATTGCTTGTTACGGCAGATAGATACAACTAAATCAGTTGGACCAGATGGTTTATCACCATTTGTTCTTAAAAACTGTCACAGCATTATTGCAAAGTATTTATGCGTTATATATGAAATTACACTAAATACTGGAGTTGTCCCACATGACTGCAAAGTTGCAAACGTTATCCCGGTTCATAAATCAGGTGATAAAAAGCTTGTCGAAAACTAGAGACCCATCTCGCTAACAGCAATTTGCTGTAAGTTATTTGAGCACATCATATACAGCGAAACAGTTAAACACCTAGAGTCAATCAACTTCCTCACTCCATCTCAGCATGGTTTCAGAAATAGACGCTCATGCGTAACTCAACTAGTCGAATTCCAGCATTACATCGCACAATCTATAGACAGTGGCGCTCAAGTAGATGCAGTGTTCCTTGACTTCCGGAAAGCCTTCGACACCGTCCCACAGAATCTGTTAGAATTTGCAATGCTCTCTGCAAACATGAACCTTAAAGTTATCAATTGGGTAAAGAACTATCTAAATGATCGACAGCAGAACGTAGTGCTTAACGGATCAAAATCATCTGCGGTAACTGTTACGTCCGGTGTACCACAGGGAAGCATATTAGGACCTTTGCTTTTCCCGATTTATATTAATAGCATAGTCGATGGTATTACCTCTCACATTAAGTTATTCGCAGATGATTGTGTAGTGTTTAGAGTGATTAAATCACACAAGGATGCCGAAATTCTGCAGCATGATCTGTACCGAATATCAACGTGGTGCCAAAAATGGAAAATGAGTCTAAACGTCCGTAAATGTTGCTGCGTATCATTCACCAACCGGATTAGTAAACTAGACACAACACATTAAATAAAAAATTCAATAATTAGCAATGAATCCTATTATAAGTACCTGGGCGTCTATTTTTCCGACAATTTCAAGTGGAATAAACACATTGACATAACTGTGACCAAGGCAGGCCGGATGCTATACGCAGAAATTTTAGGCAAGCTTCACAGACCGTGAAACAAACCCTTTATCTCATGTACGTAAGATCTATTTTAGAGTATGCTTGCATAATCTGGGATCCCCATAAGCAATACTTGATTGACGCATTGGAAAAAGTTCAAAACCAAGCAGCCAGATTTGTTAGCAACAACTATAATTCCTTTGCAAGCATCACAGAAATGAAACGAGCATTGAAATGGGAGACACTGATGGTAAGGAGGCAGAAACTCAGGCTTAAATTTCTTCATTGTATATATTATAATGGAAATGCCATTAACCCTCTTGATTATCTGTTCACACCAACGTACGTCTCTAATCGTCAGGACCATTCACGAAAAATATTAGAATACCGTTACAAAACCCACTCTTTCGGTAGTTCTTTTTTCGTAAAAACAATACAGGAATGGAACCGTCTACTGGATGATCTCGCCAATGAAACTGATAATGAATCCTTTTTTTCTTCATTGTAACAACTCCTACAATATCACTGCCACTAAGAATGGTTTGCTGTTTTGAAGCGTGTGCGTGTTTTCAAATGCATGACTGTGACGTTGTTCTCACTCACCAATATTCAAGTGTTTTTTTTTTCTCTTAAAATATTTTGAGTGCTGTTTTATTTGTTGAATCTATTGTTTTGATTAAAAACTATGTAGTTAAATTATTATGTGTACCTCCCCTACGTAATGCCTCACGGCGATATAGGTGAAATGTAAATAAAAATAAAAGAAATATCTAAGTCTTGGTCATTTTTAGCAGCTAAGCTGTGTACAAGGAGGCATACCTGCTGTACATTATCAGCAAAATTAATGTTAATGACGATTTCTCTAATTACACAATATGTGCTCATTTACTTTCTAAAAAAAATTGTTGGGTGTCCTAGGTACCAGAACCAAAATATTATTATGAAAGACAGTGTAGTCGAGGGCTCCAGATATTTCGACCACCTGTGGTATTTTAATGTACGCCTAAATTTAAGTACAAGAGACTCTAGAATGCCAATTGACACTCTGACAGCAATATTTATAGCACATGCTTCATGTCTCAAGTAGCAACTAGAAATTCATCTCTAGGAGCTTATGCCTGGAGTTCGTTCCACTTGATGGCTTACGAAAGGTTTTCAAACATAACTTTTGATCAGTACAGTAAAAGCTCGCTAATTCAAACTTCCAAATAATTAAAAATGACGCCCTGGCCCGGACACAGCCCTGTGTAATTATATGAAGGAAAACTCTCAATAATTCGAACAGGTTGGTTTCCATGACAATTCGAACTGGGAGCCCCCAGTTTTCGTCACCCCACGCAGATGTTAGTCCAGAGTGATAACAATATGTCGCAAAACTCAACGAAACTAAATTTCCAAGAGATGAAAAACAACAAAACAGCAACATCTCTCAGCATACGAGATTTTGAATGCTGTGCTGGTGCTCTTAAGAAAGCCACGAACGACAGTCGTGGTGTCACGGCGAAAGAAATGCAAGCAAATTAAAATTGCCAATTGTTGTTATTGAATTAACCTTGCGCGGATTCATAGGACGCGCACAGAAAACCCCGGTGCCTTTCAAAATAAACTGTGTTAATTCTACCACGTGCATGAACGTGTTTTGAAGCATAAATTGTCATGTATTTCGACATTTTAAGGTGCACTGTTCACATGAATGCAAGACGGTGTTTCTTTCTGGCAGATCATTGATGCATTGTTTCTGTTTGCTGTTAAAAGCTCCACGAATGTAATAAAAAGAAAATCGTCTGCCACAAACGTCTAGTGTCGCCTAGTTCTCAAGTGCACACATGGCTTCTTCGAGGTCTGCCGCGCAGTGTGGTGCAATGTTTGTACACTTTAGCACCTGCTCACCGCTTTGACTTCCGATTGATTAGAACTTTATAATCCCATTTGAGTTTGAAATAAAGAGCTTTTACTGTGCATGAACTTCAATTTTTTTTTTTTTACTTTTGCAAACAAACTCTAGAATGGCACAAATGAGAAAATAATCTGTCAGACCTGTCAGGCATCATGCACAGCAGATTGCATCTGAACGCTTTGGTACATCTGAATGGAAGCTACCTGAAGGAGATCTGATGCTGTAGCCCTTTCCTCCGGGTTTTTGACCAAGCACCGAGAAACGAAATCGATGAATTCCGGTGACCACCGGTCTGGATCCCGAAACGATGGGGGAGGCTTGGTGGGAATCATGAAGATAGCCTGCAACATGGGGTGTCATCAAGTTGGTCTGGGTCTGTAAAGTTTAAGTTCCAAGCCAACTCAAGCTATGCAAGACACTGTTGTGGAGCGGCTCCAGATAAATTTGCCAGTCTACTGTTCTCCAACCCCTCAACCATTTTATTTTAATGAGAGTTTTTCTGTCTAAAGAACTTTTATTTTTATTGGATATTGAATATTTTGTTTCTAAAAAGCGTGGTTTGATTGATTAAAAGAAATTTAAGTGTATATTATGTCAAATTAGTATTACACAGTTTGTTCAATGGCCTATTGGCTTTTGGTTCGATAGCATCGCTTGTTATTTTGAGGTCTTTCACGATTGGGGAAGCAATGTCATTGTCGAGAAACTGGCAAATGTAGCCTATGTTATATAGAATGTCTTAACAGGGACACCAAGAAACAATAACATACTAAGCTTAATGGGGATACTGCTGAAGTTAAACTGCCTACAATGAGGCATGTTAATGTCGGTGTCCTCTGAGCAGTCTTCCTCGTCCGATGAACTGCTAATCCCAATGTCAACACCACTTACACTCTGGCTTCCAGAATCGAAGTAAACTTTGTTATCTGAATGATTAGCACCTAAAGAGCAGCTGACGAGAGGCTTTTATTTCATGACGACGCACAAACGATGCATGCGTTATCTTCGCTGGACAACATCTGAACACAAGTCGCAAAAAAATGCAAAATAACGATTAAAACTATATAAATAACCAGGTGCTGCCATTTGTGAAGTGACACATTATGAAGTGACATTGATGTGCCACTTCACGTAACAGACAGTAGCACTTGGCAACAAATTAACCTATTGTTGAATTCCAATGGTGGAGTCGGAGCAAGTTTTTCTGCTCCTTTTGGAGCAAGTGTGTTTCAATGGCATAGTGAGGGCATGAGTCAAGTGTTCCAATGAAAGAGTCGGAGTGAATTCAGAGTAGGAGCGACTCTGACGGACAGAAAAAGTTGCTTTGCTAAAATCGGCGGAGTGGACCGGAACTCAGCGGGACGCACTCCCTTTAACACGTTCACCGGCTGGGGCACCGCAGCAATCGCGTGTTTTGCGAAAGCTCCGAGTAAGGAAACCCGAGTTCCTGCACGAGCAGTTTATCGGCTAGTGACAGCGACACTGACACTACCGTACGAGCGGTAATTCAACAGAATTCGACAGTAGACTGGAATAACTACATGAGAGGTATGCTAAGCGACTTGAGGACTGCCACTCCCATCTTGCTCCTGATGCCTGCTCCGGCAGCGCGAATTGTGTTCCAATCGCAGATTTGGAGCTGTTGTTCTACGCCAAAGTCGAGTGCTTGAGTCCACCAGCTGCTCCGACTCTTCCATTGGAATTAAACGTATGTCCACAGTAGCACCTTTATCTCAGCACAGACATCGATAATTAAAGATACTTAAGCCTCAAACTTGGCCCACAGCATCGCCAGAAAGTTATAAACCGCAAAATTCTATGCAGCCTCCATCGTAACTTGCCCTCATGGGGTGAATGTCTCCATAGGGAGGCTTTCCCTCAGCCATCTCCAAAGCCGTGATTCCCAGGCTCCAGATGTCAGCCACGCAGTCGTAGCCAATCTCCTGGATAACTTCTGGTGCCATCCAGAACGGCGTGCCAATCACAGTGTTGCGCTTGGCCATGGTGTCCTGCACAGATTAGGGCGAGAGAATTCGCTTCTATCCAAATGTTGTTGTATGAGTGACCATCTTGTAACTCGGCAAATAAAGATACTCTAGTGCACTGATTCCACGTATCATTTACATGTGAGTAATTGCATATTCCCATGAAAAATACAAATGACATTTGGCAGGCTGTGTTCCACTTCCTTATTATGACTTTCTTTCACTTTTCATACTGGGTTGCCAGCTCTCTCCTGTGCTCTGTATCGATGCCATCAAGTCACCCAACTTCCAACAAGAAACCGTGTTCTACACCAACTTCGGTAGCTATGTGCTTTAGAGAAAGCGCACAGCTTAATAATACGGTCAACATTACTCTAAACGACAGCTTCCTGTACATGCCCAAAAAACATTACTCATTGGTTGGCAGCTAATTGGACAGTGAGGCAAGTTACACGCATGAAGTTTTCCGTGCATGAGTGTTCCAAGTTGATTAACTTTCATTTATGAATGCAAATTTATGCTTATAACATCCAATTAACCTTGATACAAACTGTATACGCTTCCTAGAACAACAATAGCCATTCACTAGCAGCTGCAGTTATTGTAGCTGTACTGTGCGGTAATAAGATGTAACAGTGCCTGCTTACATCTATATTGCGCACTACATCTATAAGTCATAAACTTGTGATTAGTTAGCTAAAACAAGAGCAGCTGCGCTATACAAAGTTCACCCATGTACTTACGGTGAGCTGGCCAGCAACGCCAAAGTCCGCCAGCTTGGCATGTCCTTCAGTGTTGAGCAAAATATTGCCTGCCTTGATGTCTCGGTGAATCTTCCTCCGCTGGTGCAAGTACTCTAAACCTCGCAGTGTGTCAGACAGGATGGTCGCTATTTCATCCTCGGTGAGCTGCACAGAAATACATCCCATATGAATGAATGTCCCTGGACTCATGATGAAGTAACTCTGGTGCTTGCAGCAGCACAAAGTGTCGATGTCACGTCCAACAGCAGAAATGAGACACGCACCGTGTGGAATAAGATGACAAATGACCACGCGCTGAACTTTGTGTTTATCTTCTAAACCAGAGGTCACCTATGAAATTTTAAGTGGATTTGTCCCGTATATTTATATTTATTAATAAGTACGCTCATGAGCTACAAAGAAGTGAATGGTCTCAAGTATTATTTTTTTTCGCGAGGCACTCGATGCAGACATCAATTTGACCATAGAACAAAAACTTCATATTTCAGAATCAGCACACAAGTTTTAGTCATTATGGAAATCAATACAGCTATATCTCTTGAAACTCAACTTCAAATCTCTTTCAGAAATGACCCATATAGAAAAGTACGAAAGGCCACCTCTAAAAACGGCAACATTAGCTAAAACCTTGTTGTACCCCATCCCCAACAAATTTCTTCACTGTCCTGCTGCTTGTGGGATAGTATACAAAAGTTTGTGACTACGATCCCCTAGCTGAAATTTAAGACCCCAGTTTTAAACAAACACCGAGATTTCAGATGCCAAAATGTTGCTTTTGGCAAGGGCTAAAGTATGCACTTTGAAAAACAGCTCCCCCTATGTTTAGAAACATCATATTTTACTTAAAATTTTTGGCTAAAAGGAAGTGAATTACTAATAAGAAATATTTATTAATCATCACATTTAAAAAAAGAACCTGCATTACTTTCTTCATTGGAAGCAAACCAATCATACAAAAAGTGGTTGCAGAATCAAATAGATGCTGAATTTGATATGTGGGATTTAACGCTCCAAAACCATCATGCGATTATTAGAGACGTCGTTGTGGAGGACTCCGGAAATTTAGACCACACGGGGTTCTTTAACGTGCACCCAAACCTGAGCACATTGACTTGCAGCGTTTTCGCCGCCATCGAAAATGCAACCGCCGCAACTGGGATTCGATCCCGGCTGAGGATGATTGCCGGCCTAGACACTCCCAAATGTGCAGGAGTGTTAAAGTCATGCAATCCAGGCCCCTACACCATGTAATCCTATGGCATCACAACATGGGGACATTTGACTACCCCTTGTGCTTGAGCATGCTTAGTCACAACTTTCAAGCGCATCAATTATGACATGATGTCTTTGCTAGTAACTGGATTAAATACACTGGAAGTGGTATAAGTACCCTATTTGGCGTGAAATGGCATTATCACAGCAAAGACCGGAAATATGCTTACCGTCTTCTTTCGTAACCTCATGATGTCCGATACCGATCCCCCACCACAGTATTCCATAACAATCTGTCAAGATTCAAAGAAAACCATTAGTTCTACAGAGAGGATCTCTCCCTACATGGGATAGAGAATAAGCGGTCAATTAACGTAAATATATATTTTATTATGCATTTCTGTGAGAAAAAAACATCACTAGAAAGCATCATGAAAGCCAGAGAAGAAAAACATAAGGATCAAAAATTTTGAGAATAAAAAATCATACCTGGACCAGCATAACTACTCACTTCTATGAAAAAGTAGCAATGCTGGCTTTGAATTTTCACCGTTTGAGCAAATTCTACTATAACAAAGGCTTTTCTGAACTTGTATAGTGAACACAATAGTGGCAACATTTTAAAATTAAACAGATGTTACTTTTCCTTTTGAAAACAAATTTCCCTGCAGGTTGCTGCAGAATTTACTAGTGTGACATCAATTTGCATCTGTGCACAAGGAAACAAAAGCTATTGCCTGTTAATTTTTTGCCTATACGATTTACTCTAAACTGATGTCACTATGTGGCCACAATATTCATTGTTTATTTGCTTAAGTAAATAATGCAGTATTCTTGAACAAAGATTAAATTACTTGTTTGACCAATGGGTCTGCATTTGAAGACATCAGTAAAGCCTTGCTATCAACAGGAGCTGTCAGTGATACATTTGTTTTTAGTTAATGACATAATAATAAACTGTATTATATAATGCACTAAATTTGATTGACAACTGGTTTAGTTGTTAATTCATGATAAAGAGCACTATGAATAAAAGGTGCTAATAAGATGTCAACAATGTACTCGTACTGCCTATCTACTATCCATCCTCATAAATCATCTTTAGCACATATTCATTATCATGCAATAACATTCCATGCAAAAATTATGAATCATCACTCTTTACCACAGTTCTATCTGACATGTTAAAATCATACATCAAGCATGGTTAATAACATCATACAAAGCATATAGAGTGAATGAAAGTCTAAAGACAAACAGCAAGTAAGACAGGATAATGATAGCAACATGGCATAAGGCAATGAGATGAGAAGAAAGTATAAAATGAAAAATAAAAGACACGTACCCATAAGTCAGACCCTTTAAAGTACGAGCCGTAATACTTGACCACATAGGGACTGTCACACTGTTGCATAATGGAGATTTCCTTGATGATTTCTTGTAGATCTGTGTCCACGGGCACTTGCTTGATGGCAAGCACCTAAACAACATTGATTTAGGTCATTATCTACACCAGGAACCACTGTACAGGTTGGACACATCTAGCCACTTCATCCTTGGTATTTCAATCACACTTTTAACAAGTAAATGATTCACCAGAAGGATAACAGGGCCAGTTAGTGTACGATTACAGCGTGCAGGTTTCAGGAGGAAAAGATGTGAGCTTACACAAACCCACATGACAAGACTGGCGTGTAGTATTGCGAATCTTTCTGTGTACTTGGGGTTTGACCGGCTCGAACCTTAAAACTATAGTGATTCAACAGGAATCACCAATATTCATACTGTAGTGACAAAAATACGGGCTTGCTAGAGACGACGAAGAAGACGTTTGTTGTGGCAGAGGCTCGTGCTGCTGAAACTGCTGGTTGCTGTCTCGCTGCTGTTAGGCCCATTAAACGGTTGCATCACCCCAGCGTGGCGCCTAACAGTAGTCTTACATTGGTTGTCGTTCGCGTTGAAAATTACTGGATCTCGCTGTCGTGGCTTTCCGGAACAGGTGACGGATGGGATTATGACCGCAGGTGGCTGGGTCATGTCGTCAGGCATTGGCAAAGCGGGGGGTTGAGGTAGAGCCCGGGAACGCAGTTCCAGTTAGAGACAACCAGCACCTCCACCAAATGTAAGAATACTGTTAGACGCCACGCCAGGGTGATGCAACCGTTTAACGGGCCTAACAGCAGCGAGACAGCAGCCAGCGGTTTCAGCAGCAGCTGCAGCAGCACGAGCCTCTGCCACAACAAACGTCTTCTTCGTCGTCTCTAGCAAGCCCGTATTTTTGTCACTACAATACCTTTGTTTTGTTGCAGTGTTTCATCAACAGAAACTACAGTTGGATGGGCCTCTTGGTGAAAATAGACACTCAAAAGAAGCTTCTCACTCAGTACAAGATGCATTTTCAAAAAATTAGAATAAAAAGAGACCTCTACATTATGTATCGTATTGCAGCACTAGGGCCTGAAAGGTGCACAGATACAGTAGCACACCAATGTGTTTAAATGATAGTTTACCGACAATACTTCTACATGTTGCAATCTGTTGAGAACAGTTATTGAATAAGAGACTGGGGGCCCAATACTCCGATAGCCTTCCGAGTACAACTTTGCTGTTGAATAACTTTTCATGTATTTGCTTAATATTTTTGTTTTATGCTCGTTTTGTTTCCGGTTGGCTATAATGTGCGCCTTCCCCCTATGCACTTGTGACATGCTGGCACACAGAGTAATTGCGAATAAATACCGTAAACTGCGATGTGAAGAAATGTGGAATAGCAAGAAATTGTGTGGCCACATAAACACTAAACATCACCTACTAACCCAGGTTAGTGTTGTATTACTGACCTTGTCATCATCATCAGCCTGACTACGTCCACTGCAAGACAAAGGCCTCTCCCATGTTCCGCCAGTTAACCCGGTCCTGTGCTTGCTGCTGCCAATTTATACCCGCAAACTTCTTAATCTCATCTGCCCACCTAACCTTCTGTCTCCCCCTAACCCGCTTTCCTTCTCTGGGAATCCAGTTAGTTACCCTTAACGACCAGCGGTTATCCTGTCTACGTGCTACATGCCCGGCCCATGTCCATTTCTTCTTCTTGATTTCAGCTATGATATCTTTAACCCCCGTTTGTTCCCTAATCCTCTCTGCTCTCTTCTTGTCTCTTAAGGTTACACCTACCATTTTTCTTTCCATTGCTCGCTGCGTCGTCCTCAATTTAAGCTGAACCCTCTTTGTAAGTCTCCAGGTTTCTGCTCCGTAGCTAAGTACAGGCAATCTTGTATACTGACCTTGTATTATTAATACCTTGCCTTTTGTGTTAGGTGTATCCTTCCCAACGGCCTCCTTTGTTATAAGGGAGAGGATAACCGTGACAAAGTAAGGCAAACACCGCAGATACAAACACTAGAGATCAGGACAAGTGTTTTTCTAGTGTCTGTGTGTGCATGCTTACCTCCTTTTGTCCTGAACTCATGCCAACTAGCTGAACTCCCTGTCCTTCAAAAGATAACTTCGGAAAACAAATGACTTCGATGGAAGCACGTTACCTGTCCCGACTCCTTGTGCAACGCCTTGTAGACGCTGCCATAGCTGCCCTCGCCAAGCTTACAGATGATGTCAAAGACCTCCTCTGGTTGCCGGGTAAGGCTTTCTTCGCTTAGTTTCTTTAGTTCGCTGGAGGCATGCATGAAACGAGAGAGGTCATGGTTAGAGAAGAGAGCATCTTAACCAGCACGTAGCTTCGAACACACTCTCTGATCACCGGGACACGAAAGTTCAAATTTGATTGATGCAGCTGAAATGCTAGAGGTGTAGTAAGTGGTGCTAGAATAATGCTTTCACAAATACTTGTATACTAGATATGACTAGCAGTAACATGGCTAACATACATGTCATCAATGTGCTTAACTGTGCCAAAATCTAGTAACACGCTCGAGTTGAACAATGCTGAATCAACTTTTTGTCACAACACCATGAAAGCAGAACGAAGTGGCAATGCTGCAATATTTCAATGCTCATCCAATAACAGAATGTAACCAGAATCGGCTCAATGATTTGACAGAACGTGTGATAGCGCAGGGTTAATCATAAGTTGATAGAAAAAAAAAATAAGCACGAAACCACCTTCATAATGATTAGATTTACCGCTGCTCACAGGACAAGTTTACAGACACAGTGTACACGAAAACCTACCGCAACGTTTCAGTAAAGCAATGCTCCGTCGCCCGTGAAGTAATCAAACACTCACACCTGTTCAAGCGATGCCAAGCGCACGAGAGAGATTTCACGAAGGAGGCGTAATCCTTCAGGCCGGAAATAAATCCGGAGGTGCTTCTCGCGATATCCGTAGGAGGGTAAACGGTTTACAGAACGTGACTTGTTGGAATGTCGCCCGCAGGAAATAAAAGGCGGCTGGCTAGCGGCCCATTTACGGCGAACTTGTACGTTCGGACCCAAGCGCCTGGGCACCGCAGGACGCAGCAAAATGCGGATAGCTCGAAAGAGAAATGCTTCGCTTCCGGATGCAAAAAGGTCTACCACCGTGCTGGGAAAGGCAGTTCCGACCGGAGGGTATAAGGCGAAACGAATCCGAATAAAGCACTGCCTTGCTAGGCTATTTTCGGTATCGAGCTAGACGAAGAGGCCAGGGACTGAAAAAAGAAAGCGCAAACAACACGAACCTTTTAGACGACATCGTGAGCGCTCAAGTCACTGCCTCCCGAGTGCATGTTCGGTGCACAGCACGTTGTCACAAAACAACAGTTCTTTCCACCACGGTCATTCACAGCGGCACACACGCATCGCGACGACGATGCTTCCGATGCTTTTCTGCGCTAAGTTACAAAACGACTACCACACATGGACGGGCGCAGCTATCGGGGGAGGCACATCGCGAACACACCGAAACACAACCGCACCAACTGACTTTGTCGACAGCTTACAACAGCGGAGCCGAAGATGAGATGGGCAGATCGCCTTGGCAGTGCCGGCAAATTTTTCTTTATGTCGAGCGCTTTCGCCTTTCGCGGCGCCACAAACGGCACGAAGTTACCAGGTCTGTCATTTTGCCCGATAAGAAAGCTAGATTGCTGCGTAGCGCTGCAGTCGACAAAGTATACATAAAAAGGCGCGCAATTTAAAGGGGTTTTATCATAGGCCTGCTTCATTGAACGTGATTTAAGATAATGCAGATTTACCGAAGAAGCTGAGGCAGCTAGTTCCTGTAGGTACACTGTCACTTCGTAAAAAAGCACTTTCTCTTCTGTTACGGATCGGTCGGTTAAGACTTACCATGATATGAGAAACTTTCACGCACTTCGTGCATGGAAATGCCGGGAACCTACGACATGGCGATCGGCAGCTTCGCCTTAAACTAAACATGAAGACTCACAAGCCAACGCACGTGAAAACATTTCGCTTTAATCAATTAATGTACACGTGCAATATGTGCAGCGATGTGGTACGAGAAACATTACCACGCGGCATTGCGCATCCGTTCTGCATGCGTCATTTGTATTGCTTTCTTTGACTTCCCCGCATTTTGATGAAGCCAGAATCAAGCACCACTAACCAATGCCGTGGTTCTACTTCAATGCCACGTTATGGTCGCACAGATTGGGTAGATAGAGAGGGAGCCTTTACGTATGTATACTTTTTTAGCGCTTGGAATATCAGCAGAGTAGTCCCGTAAAGCTAGAAGAACATAATAATAAAAAAAGAAACATTCTTGAGTGCCGACGGTGTCTTTCATGGATGGATATGGCTGTACCCTTTAGATCGGGGGGGTTTCACTTTTAGATGAAAAACGCCACTTGTCATTCAGTATAACCTGCTGCATGAAGTTAAGCGCGTGATCAGGGCATGACCATGCAGAGAAAAAAGGCATCGAAAAAGGTGTGCTAAATGTCAGGAGCATAGCCGGAAAATTTTTTCGGGGCAGGTGGTTCAACTATAATTTATGTATGTGTGCGTGTATATTACGCAAGCAAACTTGAACATTTTCGGGCGGTTTGAACCATGACCTACTACACTCCTGACCTGTTCAGATAGCGGGGTTCCTATGGGAGCGCGTGTCCCCGCTCTCGTTCAATCGCTCGCCGTAGGTGGCGCTACCTATAACCTGTTCGTCTGCTTCTTTACGGTTGTTTTGTAGGCGCTGGTATAAGAATGCCTGCTTTCTGTGGTGAACTGTCGGCATATATGTGACTATTTCTTCCCATACATTGCTGGTCAAGTAAGCTGTTCAGTGCGCTTAAGAATTTATAGCACACTGGTTGACAAACGTGGAAACCCGTGGATTTACATGATTTTGGACAGCCTATGCGTTGTCGCGTGCATTTTATTGCAAAAAAAATTCTGAATGTCTTTTAGTATTATTATTTCTGGATATTTCTAAATTGTGGATCATAAATTCGCACTACGAGTGCTTTGTTGGTTAAAATTTGACTACAAAGAGTGAAGGTGACGTCAGCGAACAGGTGCTGCCTAGCGCCACGCCGCTCGTAGGTGACGGCCCTAGCGGCAGAAGGTATGAACTAGAACGTGGGCGCTGGAAGAGGTGCTCTCTGGGCAGGTCAGGAGTGTAGTAGGTCATGGTTTGAACCCCAACTCCCATTCTACTGGCGATAACGTCCCTGGTCCAGCGCGCCCTCTATTTTGCCTGGACCTAGCCATCACAAGGTGGCGCGTCGTTCGCAGAGATGCTCGTTGGAGGCTGAAGATTGTGTAGCATCATACGACCCCGCGGCAATGGTATAAGATCCGTTAATAACTAACTGGACGATGAATCCAGTCAAAGCAAAGCTTAAGGGGCTCCTAAAGAACCTCTGAAAATACCGCAAGAAGCATTTCTGTTTGCGCAACGTCAAGATTTTGTTTCTTACCTTATTTACCCCCGTATTCTAGAACCTCCCTTCACTCAACGCTTCGCCTTCACTTGAGAAGGCCGATGAGAGTGCCATCTCTAGGTACGGCAAGTCACTGCATATCAGCGATAATCTGCTGCGGTTCTTGAGTAGCGCAGCGTCATTTTCAGCCGAGCGGTGGCGCAGTGCTCAACTCTGAAGGGTGAAATTCGAGTGAAGGTGAAGGGTGAAATTCGAGTCGAGTGGCGTTTGTGAATACGAGGGTTAGCCACGCAGTCACTCGGCCTTGTCTCGCGCGGCTAGCAAGCGCGATCAAGCGACTTCACTTCCTTTTGTGCGTTTTCGACTTTGCAAGCGGACACAGCGAGCGTGTAGCCGAAAAGCGCAAACATGCAGGCCTAATCGGTTCAACGCTAATTAGTGCCGACGTTGCCCACGTGTTCTATGAAGAAACAAGTGGCGAGGAGGAAATATCCACCGCAGGAACAGTAGGCAAGGCGAGAAAGAGACCTACTGTCCCTGGGACTCGCTCAGTGGATTTCAAGCTGAATGCGGTTGTGTGCTCCACGATACCCGACGCCAGCACAGCTCTCGCCGATCAGCCCGCCGTCCGCGATCTCCTGGTGCCGCGTAGCTCTCGCCGAATCGGTGCCTCGGACTCCTTCTACCATGTCCTTCATCATTCCCATCTATTCTCTCCATCACTCTTGTCAGGCGAGTGCTTCCTCTTCTCTATCTTTCTACTATTTTTTTCTCTCCTTACCCCAGCCCCTACAAGAAGCTTAGCCGTGTTGCCCGACTCGGCAGACAGAAATGAACTCCCGTTTCCTTTCCTACAAGAACCACTCGTTACCGCGTGCTGTTTGATCGGTGCACTCGTGTTTTCTGCCCTGCACAGCCACATAAAGGACTTCTCAAGCTGCTTTCTAGTGGCCTTTACTAATGCTTGTTTTTGAAATAAATAAACCAAACTAAATACCTATAACTTACACACACAAGACAGACTCACTGGTATTGATCTGTGAAAAACACGCAACACCAGGACAGCAGGAAATCGGTAAATGAGACACAGTCGCTGCTGCAGTATATTTTATTTGAAAAAAAAAAAAGGAAATATACATGTTCAGAGCAGCAGCATCACTTCATTTGTTCACTCATGTGCAAATAGTGCTGCTACATTTTTTCATCATACACAATCTACAAACTCTGAGGAGATAAATTATTTCAGAGTAGTGTACAACGTAACTCCTATTCAAGCACTCTTTCTCGGTGAAAGCGACACGGCCGTCACACAACTACTCGAGCCTTAATCTGTCTCCGTTGTTCTCCCGGTTAACTCTTGATGCATAAAGGGCGGAAAGAAAGAAGGAGAGAAAAAAAAATAATTTTTCCTAAGCTTTGTTCATCACAAAACAACAATGAACATATTAAAACAACTCTTCAAAACTGCAAAGTCATCTCTTCAAATAACTTATATGAATAGAATACATCATTCATTTAAAATGGCAACACGTTTAAAGGGTTGGTAAAAAAAAGATTCAGAGACAAGAAAAAACATTGTCAACAACAGTTACAAATTTTAAAATGTGCAAAGAAAGAGTCTAAAGAACATGCGGTGTTCAGATGCCTCCGTCGCTGAGGCACGCACTTGATCGTCCATAAATCACGTTTTTTGAGACAATGTTATTGCTCACAGCTAAAGTGCAAAGCAACGAGAAAACGTGTTGATGTACTACGTTTCGCAGGCATTTCGCCCACATTCTGAATGCTCACGAAAGCAACTGTGGAAGGAAAAAGAAAAAAAGAAGTGGGGTTGCGGCGAAGACTTTTCCCGAGAGGAAACTACAGTGTGTACCACGACTACAAATGGCTACTCGGTATCTGTACTTGTAAATATTTGCAGGGGGCACCTGCCTCGCATTGTGCGAGACAATAAGTGCTGAAAGCCCAAGGTGTTTCCTTAGATTGTCTCTAAACAGTGTAAGTCCAGTAGAAACACAAAAGACAGTTACAGTACGTGAAGAGAAGGGAGTAAGCAGTCATTGCCAAAGCCAAGAAGGAAGAAAAGAAACGAGCCAGTTTAAGAAGACTGGAAAGAATAAGAGGTTAAGTGAACGTAGCACTCTTTGATGCACACTTGCCCATTTTGATCACCACATAACGGGAAATACTTGCAATACCATCCGTAGTGCCGGTTTCGAGGCTAATAGGAGCGAAGTCGAAAGCCGACCACCTTTTCATCAACGGTTCCAAAGCGGAAACGTTTCCTTTTTGAGAGGAAGGTACAGCGATGTATAGAAAAAAAAATGTGAGACGCTGCGCTTGTGCAGGGTTCAGCGATACACCGGTACGCATGCTGATTGCGCTTGCCTGTTTTCCTGGGTGCCTTTCAAGAAATTGATGGCCACCCAAGCAGAGTTAGAAATGTGAGAACGGAGTATGCTTCGCAAGGCAGTAGAAAAAGCAGCAATAAATCGTGGTTTGCGGGACAAGCCTCCTTGCCAAAGAAAATGCTGTGACTTGACAATGTGGCTCGAAGAGCATTTTTCTCCTCATTTACAGTGGGCAGACAAACAGATTGTCATGGAGATTGGCCTGGTATGGACGGGAGCAACTTGCACCCCCCCCTCCCATATTTTTTTTTTTATTTGTGTGCCAAAAGAAAGACGGCCAGAAAGCTCAATAATTAGTTCTCACCTTATTGTCACTTGTTATAGTGACAGTACATGCAGTTGCCTTCTTTGAAGACAACTGCAGACAATATGTACTTATAAAGAAGTACTGATGTAAAGACGCACTCTATGTGAGACAACTGTGAAGCCGTACTTACGCACTAATTTACGCTAATCTCGGCAGTTAATACACATAGGCTGCTACTAATGCATGTGTGTAGCCGCCATTTTTTACTTTTGGTGTGCTCATGTTTAAGCAAGACTTTCGTCAAATCGGTCTTTGACTAGCCTGCCAATGACTCAGAACGATAATGCCTCTACAAGACGTGACAAGGATTAAGTTCACAGCCTGCTACCCGGCATGAAACAAGAGTATTCGGCAAGTAAGCAAAGCCTGGACATGTGGATGCCGTAGAAATACACATTCACGCGAACATGATGCAGAGCTGTTCTTCGGATACCCCCGAATTATTGCATTATTTGTCAAGTATTCATGCCTGAAGGACGTCGAAGTAAAGTCGTCAGAACCATCAAGCACTTCCGACTGTGATACGCACTGTTGAAAAAGAAATATTCCAATGTAAATGGCTGTTTCATCCTGATGTCCTTCCGACACTCGATCTAAAGCTCCAGCCTCTTCACTTTAGTGACCACGCTTCAAATAGGTAACTGTACAGGTTCTTCCTTTTACAATGTGTGGTGCGGCTATTATCGGTGAACTCTTCGATGCTAGTCAATGATATCCTAGTCAATGACTAGCCAAAAGCTTGACATAAAGTGATGGAGTCTCCATGTGTTCACATAAATTGCCGATTGCCTGAAACCAGTCATCAACACGAAGAAAGGGAGCACTACATACCCATACCTTAGATGAAAAAGTGAAGTAGGTTGCTTGGGGATGTTTTAAGGCACCGTTTCAGGGTAGGATGCACCTACGTGAAATGACAGTATTTTATGGAGCCGTAATTACGACAATCCAAAACTTTTTCTTTGCACTGAACATTCACAAATATTTTACTCCACATCTACTATTTGCTGACTATTTTTTATACTTTGCATTGCTCCTTTTTTTTTTGTCGGCCAGAAAACAGTGTAGCAACTACCTTTAATGTTTCCAAATCGTTATAGATCTAGCGAAGAGAAAATGCATTTACGGGTAGTGTACATGTAGCTTAGTGCTAGAGCTTAGTACAAAGTCCACTTCCGGGCTGGCATCAACACACTGCCTTAGTATCTGGCCACGCCCGGAGAAAGGCTTCACACGTTGCACTTTATCTACGACTCCTAGGATGCTACAAAAGCCGCCACGTCTAGCGATGGAGCGAAAGACAAGACTTTGTATTGCTTCCATGCACGGCCATGCACCGTTATGTGAATTAGCATGGCCGAGGTATTTGCGAAGCTTTCAACGGACCGCTAGAGTATGATTGGCTGCTGCTACTTTTACCTATGAAAATGTAATACAGTAAGCCTTCTTAAAGGCGCGTGCCTCGGTACGATGAAGATTAAGTAGATGAGTCTACAGAGACACGAACTTGCGCCGAATGAGAAAGGATGTGGAACCGGCGGTGCGAAATGGTCAAACCATTCTTGTGAGGAGTAAGACCGGCGTCCGCATCCCCACACGGTATGATCGCAGGCATACGTGAACACAAGCTGTAAAGTGCAAGCTGCAAAATAAACAAACGTATACGTAGCAAATAACACTCTCTTCAAAGACAAACTTAATGGGAATTACAATATATGGCAAGCAAGCAAAGCATCTGTGTTCGTTGTTGGCACAAATAAAATGAACTTTTGGACTATGTAAGCATTGGCCCACGGCATTTGGGCTGGCACTGATGCAATTAAATATTCCTGCACTTGACTGCTCAGGATTAAAAGCCCTCAGAATGAAGTAATTCCCACTGTGAAGCTACATGCGACACACACGTCAAAATAATCCGCAGCTGACCTGGATTGACGCGGTACTTGCTTAGAGTGAAAAATAATGAACAAAGAAGACTTCAAAAGACCACTGTAACAAAAACATTTTTTTGCCTGGCTCGTTTTTAAAAGGAGACATTCCCTTTTTTTCAAAATGACTCCTCTAAGCCTGACATGCAAGTTGAATATAAGCCAGCAATATTTTATTCTATTGATGTTAAAACGATAATGAATATGTAAAAATTAAAGTGTGCCATCTTTTTTTTTTTCATTGCACACAAATGAAACTTGGAGCAAAATCTGTTACACTTGGTTCAGAAGTGAGATCAGAAAATGAGAGAACGGGGAGAAAGGGGGAGATGGGTGGCTCAAACTTTTATGAAAGTGGATGTCATTGTCCCAAAAGCTTCTCAATCGATGCATAAAAAGTGATGTTCAGAACTGCAACAATATCGTGTAAAGTGATTTGCAAAAAAAGCATCTTTAAATTTTAAATAAGAATGAAAGCATGGTGGCGGCAGTTTTTATTGCAGTGGTCTTTCCGGAGCTAGCCAGTGAATTTTTTTTATGTAGCTTCGTTGTTCTACGCAACAAGAGAACGACCATTCGAGCAGCATTGACAGCATGTACTGTACTAAGAGATCACATGTACTAACCACATTTTACGCCTGAATCGAAGTCGGTTGTTCCAGCACACGCACGAGTACCGAGGGTGTAAAATTGTCATCGGCTAATCTACGAGCACACGCGTAAACGCACAAATCAACGCACAAGTGCACCATCAAACTAAGCTTAAATAATGCGCAACAAAAATGAAAAAGTACCGATGCATTCGCAATGAGAAAGCGGGACAAAGGATAACCCTGTATGGTAAATTACATTAAGTAAATACGTGAGTGTACCTATATCACAAGAAAAGCAAACAGAAAAAAAAAACCCTTCACAAAAGCTGATGCAGCACTGTACACTCTTGACATCACTCAAGTTTGTACGCAAAAGCTGCTCAGATGTGTCAACCGGATAGTCTAGTATTTAAAAAAGAAAAAAAAGGCTGCAAAGACGCAATTGCAAATTGACAAGTATCTACAACAGAAGCAATAAAAATGAAAATAGTGCATTTTACAGTCGCATAAGACGCATAAGAAAAAGCAAAATTGTTCACGATAGCTCAAAAAGAGTATGCTACTGAGCAGGCAAAGAAATGCAACGACGACAGCACTGCACTTCAGGCTGCGGGGCTATGCTGATGCAATTTCACACACATCTTCCATTTCTGGGTAAAGGAGAGACGAGAAAAAGAAAAAAAAAAGCGTCAAAATGTGGCATAGAATGGAAGCTGGGTGCACGATTTGTCGTGAAAGTTCCCAGGCATGAAAACTCGTGAAAAGACTAAATAACAAGTATGCAGGTGCTGGGAATACCTCAAACTATTTTCGAGGGAATACTTTTGGGTGCGCGTTGACCTTCACGAAGTATCTCATCGCTCAGTCACAGACATGACGAGAAGTACACGGCCAACAGCACTCACGTCACTCGGCCAATCTATGCACGAGGTCAGAAATGCTACTGGCTCTGCACATCAACGTGTCTAGTACCTGGCCCCGCGCAGTTTTACAAAAATGACCGGCATCCCCAAAAGCACTCGCTTCCATGGCTCTGACAGCACCAGCTAACACAGACCTGCAGAGCTTTAAGATCAATCATTCTTGATATTGGGTCGCGAGTGTTCAAGCCCAGAAACGTTTGTGACAGGAGGTCTGAAGTCCTCGGCATTGCCAAATGCACTGCTTCAGAAAAAAAAAGACAATTGTGTCATGAAAAATGCGAGCTACTGGTGATGCAATGATAGCCAGAATATCTAGCAAGAGCCAGTTTCTCACTGGCGCGGTTGCAAAGTACGACAATAAGATAGGAGGTGCCGCAAAAAACACGAACTTGAGTCTCCTGGGTGATTTTTCTAACAAACCAGAGCAACCCACACAGTTACTCAATGACAGAAGGCTAATGTGGACTAGAAGCACCCCACTGTTCCTATGACCAATGGTGATGAACATTTATGACACCGATGATGAAAGGAACAACAACAAAACAATCTGAACTAGAGTGGCGCAACGCTGAGTGTCATTCTTCCACCTCCACGGTGAGATGTGACTCGAGTCTTCTTTGATAAACACGGCGGTGGCGGCAGTGCTTTATAATGTGGGGTGCGCACTGAAAAAGATCCTTGGCGTTAAAACGGGGGGGACGGCTTCGTTCTCAGCTGCGGCCAGCGCCGACAACACGGTCGATGCGGCGGTACCGTTTGCGCAGGTTTGACACAGGGTCGCGGAACAGCACAGGGTCCAGGCGGAGCGACGAGCGCACCAGCGGCATGTGTCCCCAGTAGGTGGCAAACGCGTTGATGCACGCCTGGCGCTGCACGAAATGGTCGGGGTCGTTCCACGCCGACGGGTAGCCCTGGCCCGTGTCGCGGTACTGCTTCCGCTGGGTCACCTTGATGGGCGGCAACCGGGTCACCTGGCTCACGAGAAAGTTCATGAGGATGTCTTCGCAGTTGTGGGCGGCGTCCACCGTCTGCCTCAGGCTCTCTGGCAGCCACGACATGTACATCTCGTGGTAGTACCTGGGCCAAGACAACGCCAGAGCACAGGACATGTAGCCATTCATCATTCCCAGCCTGCTTATGCGCGCTGCAGTACAAATTCTCTCCCAATGATCTCCTATTTATTCTATCCTGTGCAAACTGGCTCTATATTATCCTTGAAAATATAGTCATTTCGTCACTCCATCTACAAACTTTCTGTCTTTATTGACTGCATTTCTCACCTGATTATTACCATTCTATAATGTCCACCGCTTTTAATGTCCACCGTCCCAGGTTCATCTCTTTCGCTTGATGTCAACTAGGATACTCGCTACTCTTTTTGTTCCCTGAACCGTTCTGCCATTCTCTGATAACATGTAGCATATGATGCCAATTCTTGTATTGGTTGCAGAAAAACCGGGAGGCTACTCAAAAGCTTGTAACACTTATTATTACAGCTATAAAGAAAAGGTCATTAGCTTTTAATTAACATCTGATATAATGAAGATATTTTACCACAGGAACTACCGAGGTTTCACTGCATATTGGTTTGACTGCATTTTCATACTATCTATTATTGCAAATTTAGACAAGTGCTTACAAGAGGTCTTCCAGACAGTTTTTATTTTAGAACCTCCTTCCGTATTAAATTTATTCAGCAACTGCATTAATGGCTTATGTTAGTAAATTAAGTAGTTAATTGATTAATTGTATGACTGACTGCATCTCAAAGAGCGAAGTGCAGTTGAAGGGGGTCACAGTGGAGCCTTGGTCGTACACTTGGGTAATGTGCAACTTTGTAATGGTTTCACTGGGCACTCGAAACGTTTGATTTTTAAAGGGGACAGACACAGTCTCGAGTATCTAAATTTACGAGATATAGAAAAGTGAACTTGCTGCAGGTGTGACACAGACTGCGCGTTGAAAAGCACCTGTGGTAAAAGGCGGCGCCCGTGAGCACCATGGAGTACTCGTTGGTCCACTTAGAGCTGTAGCCCCAGGCAGACTTGGCATCGTCCCAGTAGTGCGAGCGAGCCGGGTAACCCACTATGCGCTCCGGAAACGACTGCCACACCCGGAACCCAAAGTCCATCTGCAAACGGCAAGGCATCATTCTCCTGAACCACGGTATCAAGTGTCACAGGTCGAAGCAACTTTCAAATGGAACGCAAACAACGCTGGTTAACTTTTGAGTGCATAGACATTCTCGCGAATACCCCAAGGAATCAAGTAAGACTTCATATTCAGAAAAAAGATATACGAAATGTGTTGGTATATAAGAATAAACTATAATGCAGTAGTTATTTTGGCTAAACTTGACAGAAGCATGCAGGGGCGGATCCAGTCACTCATTTTAGGGGTGGAAGTGGGGGGGGTCGCTTGAAGTAACACCTGAGAAGGGGGCGTGGTCAAGACCTTTTTGTTTTTACTAGGAGAAAAACCACTTCATAGCATCATTACTGTTAATGTGTGCGCACAGCGGTTCCACTCATTTATCCTAATTGGTGATAGGAGGTGGACCATGAGCACTAAAGTAAGAAGGGTGCTTACGCAGCCTTTGGGGGAGGGGGATCTCCCTACCGCGATCCCCCTCTCCCCCTCCACCCAGTGACACCTACATATGTCCAGTGACACCTACATCCGCCACTGGACACATGTAGGTGTCACCTTGTTTAGCTACAGCAGAAGATCAAGATTTCGTTGGTGCTACTTCTAACATCTTAGTCAAATTAAGCGGTTCTACAAGGTTTAAAAGAAGAAAGGTGACAAGAACACCGCATACTTTACTACGTGCTCGGCGCACTTTGTAAGTGATGTACTTTTTCCCTTGTCTTTTTGTGGACTTTGCCGCACTGATAGTGTTGTTTACAACCTAAAAAAAAATAAAAATGTCTGCCCTGCACAATGCCATTGCTCTGCCTCCGACAGAATATAAATGCACCGTGCAATAGTGCCTACTCATTTTCGTGAAGTCAAGCACTTCACTAATGTTTCAGATATACTTGACTTTCCCATACAGAATCCCGTTTGCATTGCTGGTTTTAGGTCAGAAACTTGAACGCGTGTGTAAATTTAATCTAGGATTGTGACATCAGTACTAAGCCAAACATAATGTTTCGGTTAGTAACGAAGAGCCTTTAATGCCCCGGATGCATCATATTTACTAGGCATGAGCAAATAGTGATTTCTTTGAATAATTTCAAATTTAATCCAAATAGTGTATATCACTTATTCTAAGGAAAGTTGAGAATATTTATTATGACCAAACTAACCTGTACAATATGTTTTTTTTTTAAATTGAAACAAGGCGTGTTACAAATGTAATTATTTTTGTTTAAAGGGAGTCGAAAGGAACTTTGAAGAGTAGTAGGATTTGACTTTTGGTAGAATGTAAGTAATAACCTTTAAAACATGTTACATTTTAAAATTTATTATATTCAGAGAACATACGCAAGTGCGCAAGATTTTCAAAAATGATGAATCGATGTGAGAAAAGTATGTTCATTTAACCTTGAAATGGGGTTTTGTGGCAGCGCTGATTTCCCCTTAGTAGGCGTGTTCATGGTGTATCATTTCTACATTACAGTGAAACAACATCTACAAAAGGTTACATGCAGTCTATTTGTTCATTTGTAATACTTTGAAATTTCACATAATTAAAATTAATGTCAAAGGAATTATTCGTTTGAACATTCGCACACTCTTAGTATTTACATCAGCAGAGAAGTAATTTCGGCTGCAGTTGGGCGCAGCTTACATTTTTTTCTTAGGTTGTAAACGTGTATGAATACAGCGACTGCTCAATGCAAGATCTCTCACAATGAGTACAATGAACGACAAATAAAAAATAGGTTTCCCACCTCTTCAGCGGTGAGCATGACGTCCTCATCCAGGGCAAGAACTGCATCGGTGGTGATGAGGGGATGAGGTGCAAAGCGGGCGCTGATCGACCTCTGCGGTGGGACCACCACGTGCACGGGGACTCTGCTAGTGGCTGGGGAAAAGCCAGCGCCTTGAAGGAGTTTGGCCACCACAGGGGCCGGCGACTCTCCGCCCCACACGACCAGCACCTGAGACGGTACACCAAGAACAAGACCACCGGTTGATTCACATGCTCATGCTGCCACTCTGGGGTCAACGAACCAATGAGTGTTATGCACATATGCACATGTAAAAATCAATACATTTTCAGGCAATCGGGACAGTCAGTTATCATGCCGATAGTCAACATTCGCGTTTGACGAGGCATCGAAGACTACGGCCTTTAAAAATAGGGGCAGAGCTACGTGGCGCCAAGTGGTGCGAAGACTGAGGAAGCGGCAGAGCTGATAGCGTTGCTCTCCTCCTCGAAACACTTCCCCTTCCCATACTTTAACCTCTCTCATCCCTATTTCCGTCTTCCTCACCCCACTTCTCTTTCCTTCCCTCTGGTATGGCATAGTATACAAGACTGTGCTTTGCGCTGCCTTTTCCCTCGTCCTTAACTTCTCTTTCCCACCCTTTTCTATAATATGGTGTACATATGTTATAGTATACAAGACTGTGCTATGCTGCACTGCCTCTTATCCCTATTTCTATCTTCCTCACTCCTACTTCCCACTTTTTGGTATAATATAGTATACAAGACGGTGCTATACTTTAAGAGCCCAATATGCTCCGACATAACCTCGACGCGCGCGCACGCTGGGCGCAGCGACGCTACGCTAGCAAAACACGCGACCAGCGTCCGTCAGCGCGGCCTGCCTTGCTGCATTTCGTGCCGACGACGTTACCCAGACTGCACCGCGCCTGCCGCTCTTTGTGACAGAGGGACGCCGGCTCTCTCCTTCCTATTTCCCTTTTCCTCACCCCCACTTCCCTTTCCCACGTGACTAGGCTCCTTGATGGCGATAGGATGGAGAGGTGGGCTAGTTGGCAATTCATGATGGTTCAGCGAACTGGGAGCGCGGGGGGTAAACACAGACACAAAGCAAAGAAGAGGCACACAGCACGAGAGGCGCTGTGTGCCTCTTGTTTGCTTTGTGTCTGTGTTCAACCCCGCGCTCCCAGTTCGCTGAACCATCCTTGATGGCGCGCGCGTCGCCAGATCCTCACGACGCGGTGGTGCGCGTCCACGCGTACTTTGCCCCGTGGAGAGGGTGGTCACTCACGCGCTCTTATCTCGCGTTGAGGAGAATGTAATCTTACCTCTCGGGCTTTCACCAGAACCGTTCTGCTGTAGTTACCGGGCGCACAAAGGTCACTCCGCTCGCTGCACAGCCTCCATTTGCGAAAAGGGCGCGCTTTTCAAAAACAGCGAAGTAACAACTGAGAACGCTTATCCGCGTTCATCTGTACCTGTGATTACGTTTCGTGCGTCATTAGACAGATTTGGTTGCGCGTCCGCAGCAGCTGTACGGACGCGCAACTAAATCTGTCTACGCGTGAGAAACACGCGGCACGTTTCGACCTGCTTGCCATGCTTCACGTGACCTTCCAATTTGTTGCTATTGCGCTCATTGTTTTGCCTTTGCGAAAAAGCTGTGACTTTTGTTTTCTGTTTATCTCTTTCTCCTTCCCTGTATACTTGCTCTCTCGTATTCTCTTTTCTCCCTTTCTTCCTCCCTGCGTCTATTTCTCCCCACTGTTTGTCTGTTTTGTCGTTTTCTTTCTTTTTCTTTGTTTCTATCACTCTGTACTCGTTCTCTAAAAGACCCCGATCTTTATGTTTCCATTTATCTGTCTTTCATTCTATCTCTTTCTCTGCACTCCTCTCGTTCATCAGGGCTATAACATTGCGCTCACCTGAAAGACACGGGTTAGAATCCGACCGCAATGGTGCACTCCACTACGGAGTTTCTCATAATCACATCGTGGTTTTGGGACGTAAAACCCTAAGTATTATTAGGGAGCTATCGAATAGGGGCCCCAAATAAATAGCGTCAAGGCCACTACGCGTGCGCAAAACCCAAACCGCGCTTGGGTTTTGGGTTGGGGACGCTATCTCCGAATTTAGAGGGGGGCCCAAAGCCTGCTCCAAAAAAGTTTTGTGTCAGAAAATCGTCACGGCACCCACTAGAGCGACGGCTCTCGGCCAAGACTAGAGAGTGACACAGAGAATAGGGAGTGTGTCCAAAGCGCGGCAGACCCCATTCGAAAACTCATCGCTCCTGCACGACCCAAAGCGTCCACACGCAAACTATAGCTTTGGGGGCCCCAAACTTTCGGGGCCCGCCGGTTGCGCCTGGCGCAGGACAAGGTTAGCCTAAGAGGAGCTTCGCCCTTCAAAGAAAACAAAAGGATCGCAGACACTATGTTTTCGCAACGACGCCAGTGTCGCGACCGCGGCCGGGCACCCCTATTCAAAGTCGAGGCCCGGAGGGAGGGGGGGGGGGGTTGAGGATCCGTTGGTAACACCAACTCAGCTCGCTCTAACCAGAAGAGATCTGCCAAAGAAAGCAAAGGGGGGAAAAAAAAAAGCCGGGATATAGCTAAGAGCCGTCTCTCGAAAGCTTGTTCGCAGGTTCAGATCGAGAGACTCGTGGACCAGAGGAGTTGCGCCAAATGGTAGTCGTCTCGACGCAGCGCAGCAGGCCGCCGGGAAAGTGGCGGAGAGGGGCTAAAGCGAGGACACGGCGACGACAGGCTGCAGCGCAGCGAGACTTCTTTCCAGGAGTAGATACCGGAAAATAAGACGGACGAGGAAATGCCGCCGATTTTCCCCACTTTCGCGAAAGCTCGGGGACAGACAGCGACTGCAGCGCCACCGCTCTGCCGCCCCCCGCCGCGGACCACTCACTCGCTATCGATGCTCGCTCGCTAGAACAGTGCAGCGGCCGCGGGTTGCGCAAGGAGTGCCGCGACCAGCTAGGCGCGCACTCAGGCAGTAGGATTACGCTGGTTAAAAAAAAAAGTTTTCTACATTGTTATACAGTTTATTCACGGTGTTTTAGAAAGTACTCTAGTTTACTGCAGTTTATTAGACTGAATCAGAACAAAAACATGAGAGAGAGAACGAGAAATGATTGATTTTGATTGATATGTGGGGTTTAACGTCCCAAAACCACCATGCGATTATGAGAGACGCCGTAGTGGAGGGCTCCGGAAATTTAGACCACCTGGGGTTCTTTAACGTGCACCCAAATCGAGAGTACGAGAAAGTGGAAGCTATATCCACAGGCATAAGTGTACGAAAAAGATTACTGCATATGCTCCCTAGGTAGCATATACAGAGGGCGCCAGCTACCTCCTTATTTGGGCGAGCCGAGTTAGTGCTACCAACGGAGCATATACATTAACTTCACCCTTGCCCCTGTATATGCTACATGTGCCAACAAAGGCAATGTTTCACGCAGTGCCACCTTTTACTCTCTCTGGCAGAGTTTTAAAAATATACGGTGCGCAGTAGGCGCAAAAAAAAAAAAAAAGAGCAGCAGCTTCATTGACTAAACGTTGCGAAGGGTTGTTAAATACACATCGAAGCTGGCGGCATCCGATGGCTATAGGTGTGGTGCACGGTTTGCATCTGTTTCAAACTGTAGGCGATGCGAGAATTCCGGAACGAATGCGACTAGGTGAGGAAATAGCAGGAAGCGCCGATTTCCGCTCTCCTCCTCCTCTTCCTCCTCACACCAACAGCTCCACTCTCGCCTTGGCCCTCATCTCATCTGGAGCACTGACACAAAATTTCGAAGGTGAGATTTTGATCGAGGTAGAGTTGTGTGGAAACATACACACGAGTTATCAAGGGCATATATAGCCTAGAACATTCAAAATCAATTTTAAAAAGAACGCCGTGTGACTGAGCGAGATGCGGAGCGCCTCACGACGTCAACGTAGGGGCAATGCAAACAAACGTATGTAACGAGCGCGTGTTGGCTGATTTTGATTGATTGATTGAGTGATTCTAGAAAAAGAGGGAAGAAGGCACCTAATTGCTGTCTGCCTCTTGGGCGACAAGGCGCAGTGCCTTGTAGGGGAAAGGGGACGGGAAATGAAAATGAAACACGCCTTGCGCGTACGCGGCTCCCACGTCACAGTTTTGCGTGGTCACGTGGCCAGCTGCGTTTACCTTGCCTCTCCCCCCCGGAACTGCCTCCTGCCTAGCTCGGTGCTATTTGAAACCGAAACCGAGGTTGGGCGCTCTAAATAAAATGACCATCACGCACTTGCGCAGACGAGGTTTCCAGTCGTGATAAGTGGGTCAGAAGCTGTACCTATTGCAACGAAAACAGAAAAGCAAGGTGCAAAATTTCTGTGTCAGTGCTGTTTTGACGTCGCTGCCCCCTGTCTAGCAAGCTCGCTTTCCTCCATGCTCTTAACTCTGCTGACCCGCAGGTCGCGGGATCAGATCGCGGCTGTGGCGGCTGCATTTCCGATGGAGGCGGAAATGTTGTAGGTCCGTGTGCTCAGCTTTGAGTCCACGTTAAAGAACCCCAGGTGGTTTAAATTTCCGGAGCCCTCCACTACGGCGTCTCTCGTAATCATATGGTGGTTTCGGGACGTTAAGCCCCACAAATCAATCAATCCATGCTCTTAACTCTCGTCGGGCTTCGCTATCGAAGTTGGACTGGAATGTGCGGACGACGGAACATCCAGTGATTTAACTCGGCCCTAGACCGCTCCCCTGTTGCAATGACAATGAAGTTCGACGTGCTGCTCAGAACCTTGCGGGGGGGGGGGGGGGGGGGAGAGAAGACTGTTACTGCACTGCAACGCCAGGGGCCCTCAATCCATCATAATCGACAAATGGCGATTAAACTAAACTGCCCCCCCCCCCCCCCCAAATCCCCGAAAATTATTTCTGACTACACCCCTGATCCCGCCTATAGGTATACAAGAGTTCTTAGCTGGGCTAGTCGATCAGTGTACATAATGTAAAAACAGTTGGCTGTTTCGACATAAATACATTAACAAGGTGACTGTCAGCAATTGACCAATCAATGCGCCAATGACAGCTATAGCTCAGCCAGAACGCTAATGTTTTTGCAAAGAAGAAGAAGTCATTAAAGCGAAGGTCGACACCTCGATACCAATCAGCACGAGCGCGACCGCCGAAACAACGCATTAACCCAACCCCCGAACTTTTATTAATGTTATAGTAATTTTTTTGCGTTGCCGGTCTATAGTGTCTCCTAGTGATTCCAAAAACCCGCGTGCATAACACATCATCGTAGTCAGTTTTAGAGAGATAAAGCGGGAAAATGTTGAGAAAAAATAAAAGCGAGACAAATTACACGCGAGCGCTGTTAAAGAACGTCCAATACAAAATGTTTCCAGGACATTAAATATGATTATCTCTTCACACAAGTGCCAATCAACTCCAAGGGGAATATAGATGGATTTACGCTATATAGAATCCGAAATCGCCGTTCGCAGTGAATTAACCAGTTTCAAGTCTAATCGAAACACGTGGCGAGTAACTGGAAATGTATTTTCAAGCGACGGGTCGAACAACAAATCGATCAAAGAAACGGCGCCAAAGCGGGGGACACAGGGGAAGCAAGACGCACGCAACAGAGGCGCTGCGTCGCATGCTTCTTTTCAACCTCTCTGTAATAAACTTTTTTTTTTCCATATACAACCTGCCCCGACTCAATCGAGGCTTTTCTGTCGTTGTTTGAAAGGGGCCCTGCGACAATTTTCCAACTTACCATCGAATGTTATCATTTAAAAAAATTTGATGCCTCACAAATCGCCACCCGCTGCAAAAATCTTCAGAATGTGTCCAGTACGAGGGGAACTACAAGGTATTTGTCGCACGCTGCAATTCCTTTCTCTTTTCCCTCGTCCCGACCAGCGCGCCACTGGAAGCTAAGCGAGAAGGGATGACACGGGGAAGATATTTGCACGGTTGAGCGGTTTCGCGTGGCTTATCGAAAGCCGTGTTGCGCATTCTCGAGGGGCAGTGACGTCACAAGGTGCATAGCTGGCACGCGTCCGTCCCTGCGCCCGACTGTCTGTCTGTCTGTCCGGCCGCCCATCCGTACATCACGCTACGTACATCTTGGCATAGCCGCGCTAAGCTACCGCTAAGTTTTTTTTTTTTTAATTTCGTCCGGCGCGCAGCTTTCAGTGTGATCGCGGCACGTGGCGGCCCCCCGCGGCGGCCACGGTAACTATGCGGCTAACGATACTCAAATCAGCCAATAGACGTGGAGTTCGGGCATATAGGGCGGACATATGGACAACGTACACTAGAGGGAAAATCTATTTTTCTCGTACTAGATGGTCACCCTTTTACCGTACATCTCCACGACTGCCCCGAGAAGACGCGCGATACGCGAGAGAAAGAAATGCCGGCGACATCCCCCTGCCCCCTTGAAATTCGCGCACCGAAACGCCGCGACGTCATTGCTTTTTGGCGGCCTCTATACTGGGGCCTGCGTAGTTCTTAATCGGCAAAAAACGAACCGCATCGTCCCCAGAGGGGGCCAGATATTTAGCATATGCAAAGTTTCCGAAAGTTTCGTACAGCACACGTCGCCTAAATACGTAATGTACGCGCTGAAATTCACGAAGTCACGCGCGCAGATTACGGCGCGAAATTTCAAAACGAAACTTCGGCCTTCATTTTATTTTTCGTTGGTAAAGCTATGACGGTGAAATTATCGGTGTTAGCGGTTTCGCAGTAAAACTGATAATCTAAATGGACCCCTGCTTTCATTTCGTAGCGTCCCTTAAGACGCGTCAACATCCAGACGCTGTGCCACGGAGCAGGCTTCGTCGTTGGCACAATGATGCACCCAACTGCCCGCCGTTCGCTTTCTTTTTCCTATAACAGATGTTTACGCAAGAAATAAATAACAGTAATGGGGGGGGGGGGGGGACAAAGAAAAAAAAGATAGGGAACATAGCTTTACGAAGGGTTGCGGATAGCGGCCAACCATTTTCCAGGGATAACGGCGACCACACTCCATTCGAGTGCAGCGGCTTTTGATGACGAAAGCAATCGGCGCCTGTCGCCGCCGTTTCTTTCGCACCTCTAAGAAGAAGAAGAAGAAAAATTAATGTGGTGGTCATCGAAAGAATGCTCGAGGCACGCGCATCTTCGAAGACGGCGGGCATTGGTTCTCCGAAACGACTTTGCGGACGCTGATGGCCTTCGATATAGTAGGGCGTGTACAGTATAGACTTTGGGGATCCGTGGTCGCCCGACGTGCCATGGAGCGCCGATGACGGCGCGGTATACCAGCGCCGCAAAGGCGAAGGCGCGGCTATACCAAGCGCGCGTATACGTTTCAAAATCATCCTCATATACGAACTTGGTTGCCGCGTCTTCGCTCTTACTACATAGGCCAGAAACACACGTGTATCGACAGAGAGGCACGGAAATTCAGAAGTACTTTGCTCATCGCTTTGCGTGTGTGCGTGCCTAATTTTTCTATCTATCTATCTATCTATCTATCTATCTATCTATCTATCTATCTATCTATCTATCTATCTATCTATCTATCTATCTATCTATCTATCTATCTATCTTAACTGCTCCTTTTCTTCGATGCCCGGAAACGGGACCGACATCCACGTGTTGGGCAGCGTGAGAGTGTACACTTGCTACAGGCAACAACAAAGACCACTGATGCGTTCATATCCAGGTAGGCAGGTAAACGACTTCATTGATTCAGGAAATAATCACGTCAGGGGGAGGGATAGGGAGCTGGAAGCAGGACGGCGATGGGCCCTTGGGCCGCTCTATAGATGGCCGGACACTTCGTGCTTCATGCTTCTGGCCCAGCCCACCGTCTGTAGCCCCGGCCAAGAAAGCGGGTTTCTGACCTGCTAGTTCAAAAGGGGGTATATTGCGCTAATGGACATGGGCCGGGTATGTAGCGCGTAGACAGGATAACCGCTGGTCATTAAGGGTAACTGACTGGATTCCCAGAGAAGGGAAGCGGGTTAGGGGGAGACAGAAGGTTTGGTGGGCAGATGAGATTAAGAAGTTTGCGGTCATAAATTGGCAGCAGCAAGCACAGGACCGAGTTGACTGGCGGAACATGGGAGAGGCCTTTGTCCCGCAGTGGACGTAGCCAGGCTGATGATGATGATGATGATGATGATGATATTGCGCCAAAGATCGTGTTGTACCAACTAGTCCGAACAACCAGCGTTCCCCGGTTGCAAGTACGCAGTGACCACAGTCCAGGTTCTCACACGAGAAGGGCGTGTATATACCGACCTTGTCGAGGCATGTGGAGTGGAGCAGGCTCTTGAGCAGCCTCTGGAGTGGCTGCGTGCTCGGCATGGCGGAGTAGACGACGGCCGTGTAGCGTCCTCCGCTGGGTCGCTGCTGCTGCTGTTCTCCGGCAACGACGCCCGTGCTGCGGTGTCGATGGAAAGGCAGCGGCCTCAGAGTGTCCGAGAACTGCCGCAGCGTCAGCAGGGCGCCCGGGTGACTGTTCCACACGACGCCGTGGTGGGACTCCCAACTGCGCACCCGTTCGCGCAGGATCTGCGAGAGTCAATAAAGCGGCCAAAAGAGTTATACTACATTGTAAGATGAGGAAGGCGGACATTGCTTACCCATACACCTGCCAACTTGGTGGCACTGAAATTCGGTATATTCATTAGGCATATCTATATCTATATCTATATATATATATATATATATATATATATATATATATATATATATAGTGAAGGTATGAGATATGGCACAACGGGAGCGTTGTCAACAAGGATAAATATATTTATTTCCCAACAGTTTCGGGAGGGGTCCTCCCTTCATCAGGGGATGAGTTATACTGACATGAGCTTCCAAACTTCGTTGCTGCCGCGTCCCTCTCGCCTTGAAAAATGTTTGCGAGAGTGAGAGGGAACTAGAAAAAGGAAAAAGGGGGGGGGGGGAGAAAAAGGACGAAAAAGAAAAAGAAAGAAAAGAAAGAAAGTAAAAAAGGGGAAGAACCACTGTCAACACTGAGAACGAGGCCAACTGTCCGTCTACATCCACATATGGTTCATATCACATGCTGTTCAGTTCTTGACGTGTGTCGGGCCACCCAAGATTGTCGCCGCGGTGCCAGGAGGGTCCGTGACGGCGTGCATAAAGAAAGGGGTTTCCCCGTAATGGGTCGGTCGGCGGGCGGCGTGCGTAAAGGAAGGAATTCCCGTTAATGGGTCGGTCGGCTATTTACCTTTAATCTTCGTCCGTTTTCCTTCAATGGTCATCAAGTGGTAGGCGAAGGTAAGCACTTTGTATGTGCATGTGAAAAAAAAAGGACAGTGTACACGTACGAGTCAGTCAGAAAAAAGCATGGTCTCCAGCTATCAATCTTTGTCACCAATTTTCTCCTGGCTTACTTCTCGGAGGCAGTTGAGTTTTCCGGGGTCCTCGTTGAAGCCGGCTACTACTGTACGAAATTTGAAAATAAAATATGCCTCACGCTGTTCGCGCTCGCGTCTGTTTGAAAAACCGGACTGCAAAAGAGTTACGCTAATATTTTTAAAACTGTGGTTTGGCAGGCGCAGATGTCTAGATAAAGGTAGCTTCGGCAGTGAAGTGGCGTGGTACCGGTGATTATTAATGAACCGCAGCCGAAATGGCGTGTCTGTTTGGCCGATATATTCTTGTCCGCAGATGTTGCAATGTAGCATGTATATTACGTTACTGGAGTCACAATTAAGGCTTTCAGTTATGCAGAATTTGAAATCCGAGAAGTTCGCTTTGGATTCACGTGTTGTGACCATCTGTGGGCATACCTTGCATCGAGCTTTTCCGCAGGGATGGCACCCTGATTGAAATTTGGGGGTGTTTGTTTTTGCTCTGACAAGAATTTCCTTCAGATTTTTATCCTGAGAATATGGAATACCCGTTTTGCAATGCTTTGGGTGGCTGCTGTTGAAATGTAGGTACATTTGTACATTGTAGGTATATATATATATATATATATATATATATATATATATATATATATATATATATATATATATATATATATATATAAAGTTGCTGTTGCTTAAAACCGCAGCAAAGTCAGAAGACGTCAGCAATCATACTGGTAACTAACCCACCAAGATATTTGCAGTGTCTCGTGTCAACAAGTAGTCCCTTGCCTATCCTAATGCGCTTCTGCTCATTACACCAGTGTACTGCGGCAATAGTGACATCGGGAGAGCCAGCAGATATATACGTATTGGTACAGGATACTCCCGTGCACAATCGGGCTGCGATTTGAAAGACGACAATACGGCTCTCATTAAAAGGGGGCGGGAGAGAAGAGTGTCGAGTGCTTGCGCGTTTAAGCGTGACATCAAATCTAACAAGCGGAACATGCGCAATAACTCGAGATAATCGCGCGATGTAGATACCAGTATGGCCGCTAAGTGTAATGCAGTGGCTCTGATATGTTGAATTCGAGTCGAAGTTATGCCGGCATGAGAAATGCGACGTGGCGGTATGGGATCACGGAAATAATAATAATACCTGGGGTTTAACACCCCAAAACCACGATATAATTACGACAGACGCTGTAATGAAGGTCTGTAGGGAAATTTTTACCACCTGGGATTCTTTAACGTGCACCTAACCTAGGTGCACTGGCCTCGAACGTTTTCACGTCCATCGAAACTGAAACCGCCGCATCCGAGATTCGATCCAGCGACCTTCGGATTAGCAGTCTAGCGTCGTACCCACTAGATGGCGATTGCGGAAGCGAAAGTACACGTGCAATTCGATAACCCTAAATCGCATTTCGATCCGTGCCGCACCCGGTGTGCAGCTTTTGGGCGCGGGACCGTCACTTTTACTCCTATCAAGTATATATACGAGCAGTCGACGCCGTGAAGGGGGTCGTTGTTCACGTAGTAAACTAAAAAATAAAAAACAAGAAAGCAGAACAATAAGCATCAATGGACGACGACGATGACACGTACGGCTGTAATTTGGTTTGTACCTCCCTTTTCTTGCATGCCCACCCAAACGACAGCGCCATACGCTCTGCTGGCCGGGAAAAAAATAATTTAAAAATAAAAGAAAAAAAAAAGCGATTGTACGTGACCGCAATGCCCAAATGAGCTCCCAGACTATCCAGACACTCGTTCAGCCGTTCTCCTCCCCTTACCTTTTTCTTTTGCTTTTCTTCGCGTATCACTTCTCATTGACTCGAAAACTCATTTATTCGTCTCGCACGTTCGCTATTTTCGACTGCTTTTTGCACGCCCCGCCGAACGTATGGGGACATCAAAAGAAAAAGAAATCGTGCGCTATGGTTGTTTCCAGTGACGCCGCTCTTGTTTGCCTGCGTTCTTCCTTTCTTACCCTCTTTCCCTGAATTCATTTTCCTTATATCCTAGTTTCTTTCCTTCCCTTCCTTTCTCTCCATTTGTGTCCTTTCTCTTCTCTCTCCCTCTTTTCTCCAACCTTTCTATATCTCTCCCCCTCCCCATGCCTTCAATTTTACCCTCCCCTTCCTTACTTTTATATGCCTCTTCATCCCTTGTTGCATTTACCGGCCTCTCCCATCTTCCTTTCTAACCCTCCACCTTTCGCCTCCTTTGTGCTCCTTCCTCCCCTTCCTAACTTCCCTTTCTCAAGCTTCCTCTTTCCCACATTTTCCCTCCTTCCCTCACTTTTCTCCTTTCCGATTTCCTCCTAAATTCCATTCTTTCAGTCTACGTGATCAGCGCTCGATGTTTCGTAACCGCTATTTCAGACCTAAACAGCGAAAGTTTGTTTGCAATCTCTGCCAAAACTTAGGCGTCGCCACGCATGCACGCGGAGCCCATTACAATAAGCCGGCCATTTGCCAAATCTCGCCGTCAGATGGAGTACGTGACTCTTCGACAAGGACTATAAAGTTCGCAGCGTTACTGACAACGTAAAAAAAAAAAAAACGCGTTAAAGCGACGCAACACCAGAACTGCGGAAAAAAACAACCGAACGCGGTTATTCAGGGAAGCCGTACATACGGCATTTGAGGATTTTATTTTATTACCAGTTAACGAAGGCTCGAGTATCCGTGCAAGATAGTGGCTATAGGTTAAAAAAAAATACGCCGTATCTGATTCCCGTATAGGATCACACGGCGCAGCGTCACGCTAGGAGGAGTGAAAGAAAGGAGGCGTTTTCATGTACCCGCGCTGCTCTCTGCGTATTAATGGGGGACGGGGGCAGCGGAGCTCAGCAGTTTGATCAAACGGTTGATATGGGACAGCCAGGATCGCCAGAACAAAGGCTTCCGAAATCGAAAGGCGTGCGAAGGCCGTGCTAGCCGTACCGTGGCCTCCGAGATGGCGGGCGCGCGGCGTGTTCTCGGAGGCCATGGCCTTACTACCACGGTGTTTCGCGTCTTTCCCGCCAGGCGTACGGCGCATGCCGTATGCATTCACGTGTTTCGCGTCTTTCCCGCCAGGCGTACGGCGCATGCGCCGTGGTATCGCGAGAAAGGCGGATTCCCAGTGGCACCGGGAAAAAAGGTAGCTGGTGCGGGTACCTATACCACGAGAAGGTGGCTAGACCAGTTAGTTCTCTTATTCTCTCAAATGGCGATGCACTGAAGAGTAAGCGTATTTCCCGTATTCAAAACATAGCCATATGGCTATGTTTTGAGTACGGGAATGGTGAATGGTGGATGGTGGAATGGTGAATGGTGAATGGTGGAATCCACCATTCCTATGGTGGACGTTTTTTTCAATATTCCTCCTCCACCTATAGGCTAGGGGCCTTATATGGCAACTTGGACCCTTTCGTGTGATTTCAGAATAGCCTCCATAAAGTTGCTCCCAAGCTAACGAATTTAGGTGTATTCGGCCGCGCTCATTCGCCGCTGATAGTACAGGCAACGTGATCATCGGTCGTTGCTTCAGATCCCGGTACTGCTGCTCCATCTATGGCACGCTTTGTGAGTGACCACTGTTGCCTCCATGGCGTAATTAGACACATGGCTAGATGAGACTTCATAGACAACAAGCAAAAGGTAAAAATAAATAAATAAGCAAACGTGAAAGACTAAACGTACTTTGATTAAGCACGTTGCTGCGCAACTATACGCATGTGAGAAGCACGTATGGCAAACTGTAGTCGACTACAACTTAAGAATAACGTACGCTCGCCCTCCCGCCGCCGCTTTTCGCCTCTTGAACGCCGACTGCCTGCCTGGCCATTTCTCTCATTCTCTCTCTCTCTCTAACTTTTATTATGGCTTCACCATCGGCAAGATTTTGGGTGCATGGAACCGCGCATACAAGTTAATGCAACGAATGTGCCCAATTGATTAAGACACGGATGTATGTGACTCACCGTCTGTGATGTTAAGCACTTAAACTGCCGTTTTGTAGACGGCATGAGTGACATTTCTCCTCTTCTCTTTCTCTCTCTCTCTCACTTCTATCCCCTTACCCTCTCCCCAGTGCAGGGTAGCCTACCAGGCTCAGCCATAGTTAACGTCCCTGCCTTTCTTTCATCCTTATTCTGTCTCTCTCCACGCAGACAAACTTGCGTGGACATAGTATTAG